CATACATTTTTTACTCACTTCGTAACTTAAGTTTCCCATAAAAAAAAAAAGAACCGTAAAATGGAAGAATTACAAATTAGAAAATGTACAATTACACCTAAAATTGTATATTTACCGTATCGGTGCGCTTTTACCTGAATTTAATGCAATGTTACATTATATTTTTCTATAATTTAACTCAGACGCTTAATGTGATATTACGATGATTAGAGGCAATGTCATTTTTATCGCCGCTTTCGTTTTGTTTAGCGTACAAGGAGGGCTAAATCACAGTTGGACCTAAAATCGTGAAGGCAACGACTCGATTTTTACGAGCGCGCACCTGGTGGTCAGGGGAGCGCCGCCATCTTGGATTTCTCTTGGTCCGCGAGTCCTTCCCCCCTCGAGATTTCGGAAATTCTGAAAAATTTCCAGGGACCGTTTACGCGTAACGGCGAGAGGTGGACACTATTCGATGGGATCCCGTGGGGTAGGTTAGGCCGGGATCGGGATTGGTTACGAGAGCTTCCCGTAACCTGATAAATAAGGAGGCCCTGGGGTCAGCGCCAATGAGAGGGGTCAGACGCGGAACAAAAGGAACGCGCGGCCTTTGCACCCCAGGTTAATATGCGGCCAACTAAACATTGGCGCCGGACAATACAAGATTTATGGTCCGACACATACGAAGCCATTGTCGACCGAGTCGCCCCACGAAGGCTGGACTGACCGGCGGTCAAGCTAGGACCGAATGTGCCACGGTTTTCGAAAAATCTGGGGAACAGTTGCGCCCGCGACGCGGCCATTGTGCCCGAGTGGGAATCGCGTTTCGCCGGGACGTGGTCGCTGCTCGGCCTTTGTCATTAAATCGGACTAATGAAACCCGAAGTCCCTTCGCGCGGACGTCGCACGTGTCGGTCGTTGGGCTCCCTGTGCAGATTTACGGCCTCGCGAAGGCATTTCCCGGGGATTGTTTATAGAAAATCGAGGGTTAAGACCTCCCACGCGGAAAAGTCAGCCGATTTAGATTTCCAACAAATTTAAGAGAATCCCACCGACCGATTTTTATTTTTACGCCTCTTTTCAAAGAGATAGTCCAAAGAGAAGTTCTCTCTCTCTCTCTCTCTCTCTCTCTCTCTCTCTCTCTCTTGAAAGAGAGAGAGTACTTTCGCAGGCAAAATTGATAGTTTCATACTAGACTCCCAAATATAGACCAATGCCGTGGCTTCGCCAGAATGCAACATCCTTTTTGCGAATTTATTCGTATGGGGGAAGGGAAATCCGCAGGAACTCGAGAATAGGGAGGTCGAAAGGACTAAGTGGACTCGCGGGGGATAATGACTTCCCCCACTCTTCCCGCCCGCGCATGCGCACTCGCCCTCGCGGCCGAGAGTGGGGGAAGGCATTTGCCTGCGCGGAGACACTTCCCTCGAGATCTTCCTTGGAATCTCTCCTAAAGGCGTTTTTCATTTCGATGCACTAGCGAAACTCGGATTACACGAGTGTAATCCAGGTTTCACGCGTGCAGGCTCCGAGGAAAAGTCGAAGTAATCGGATTTCGGCGTGCGGGGACCGGTCGATGATCATTTTCATTTATGGGTTTTTTTTTTGTATCGGCTCCCGAGGGTCTGTCGGCCCTTGGCAAGGGCGGGGTAGGGCTGTTCTCCCCTGTATGGTCCTGTGCTCAGCCCTGCCGGCCGCACGCGTTAATTCTGGCCACTTTTGGACGGCCCTCTATGGGACGTTTTTTTTTTCCTTCCCTCCATCCGGCACTTTTCGAAACGCGTGCCCTCGTCCTCCGGGCTCCCTTTCATCTCCTTTTCTCCGGCGGCCCCCTGTCGCCCCCCGCAGTTTTCGGAATTTTCTAAAAAAAGGGAATGTCCAACCGGACGTTCGCCACGTTTCTCCCGGGCCATTATTGAAACCCGACCCGGGCGACACTCTTTACAAATTTCCAGGTTCCTGCCACCGACCGACCCGCCATCATTTTTTTACAGCCCTCTTTTCTGCCTTTTCCACGCTCGTTATGCGTTTTCCCGACCTACTTGGAACTCCGTTGTCTTCCTGGAAATAATCCCGAGGGATAACGCGTCGATTTCCGATTTCCACCTCGTTTGAATTCCCTTTATTAGGAATGATCTTTTTCGGAAAGGGCCGAAAAATCCTTACCAAAATTCTACGCTGAAGAGGACCAGGAATTGCTTTCGGTTCCTTTTTTAAATCCGGTACATTTCTCGGAGAAGGGAGCGTTCCCATTTTTCGCGTTTCAAAGGGAGGAGGAATTCCGAATTCTTTTTCATATTTGAGCCCTCCTTTGGGACCGATTCTTGCCCATCATCGCCGAGGTGGCCTCGCAAATCGTATTCAAAATGAATACTTGGCAGAAGGCTGCATCCCCATTAAGAACGCATTTTAATGCACTGTGCTGGCACACAATGGCCGTTTTAGGAAGTGAGGGGAAAAAATGGGAAATACGGGGAAAAAAAAGATCCCCAGATCGAATCCAAATCGCGGCTCGGTGATCGATCTACAACGTCATCGTCAAGCTGGGCAAGGGAATCGTTTGTCAATGGACTTTTCCAAAATGGCCTCCTTTTCAGTTTCCCTCCATTCACCATTTTTTTTTTTCGCCCGTAACTCCCAGTATAACATTAAAAATATGATTTAAATAATACCAAACCACAATTATTAGCTACGGGTTACTTTCCAAAATTCCCCCCTTCCCCAGAAAATGAAGAAATTACGTCGAAAGGGTGCGAAATTCGAGAGGGGGAAAAAAAAATACCGAAGCGTCAGATTTTTCACCCCTTCAAGTCCGCACAATGGGGGTTCTTTACGAGAGGGTGAAGAGATTTTGATTCGGGCTCGCATTACAACCCTCTCTACAATGGAATCAACCTGTTGAGAGAGGGGAGGCTTTTTTTTCTAGCCCGCTCTATTAGCCACGGGTCTCCTGCAACAAGGGTGTGGTGTTTGCGTTTTTCATGGGTCTTTTTTAATCGCCAAAAAAAACTCCCCTTGCATCGGATCGCGCGCACAAGTGCAGCTACCTGCACCCCTAAGGTGGAGGGTTCGACTTTTTTTTCACGGCTTTTTTTTTAACAGGGATTCACCTATCTAAATCCCCCTAATAGAACAGACGTGTATCGGCACTCGGGACCCTTCTTTGCCACGGCAATTTCTCCACACAAATCCCCCTCTTACAAATTTTTTTATGACTCCTCTGAAAACATTACTCTTACCCGGTTTAGAAAAAATGATATAAAAAATTCTGATCCCGTTAACTCGAAAGATTCGAAGTGAAGGTGCGCGATTTTTTATTCGTTTATCGATCCAATTTCGAAAATTGAAAAGTATCGAAAATCGATGTCGATCTTTTCGACGTCGCATTTTCTGCGACATGTCGCATGGGGATCCATAAAAATATGTGTGATGTGTGGCAGATCGGTCAGGCCTATTTTACCACGCAGCTGTCCCGAGAACATCTGGCCGATTATTGCGAAAATTGGAAAAAGGGCTTACGGACCACGAGGCTATATTCGAAAATCTCTAAAAAGCTCGGCCAAGTCCCAGGACGCGAAAGCAATCTCGACTGCGATCCTTTCTCCCTCCACGTGGATATTGTTTTAGGGCGCCTTTTTCGGCTGAATTTTTTCCCGCCACGCAAGGCGGAGTTTACCGTAACCCGAGGAAAGCTGTCAGAGGTGAAGGAAAGCCGAAGAAGGTTACTGTTACGAAATTTCCCGTAGGGACTTAGGACAGGATTCCTGCTGGGCGGTCGAAAAAAGGGAAGCCCGAAAAAATGCGAGGACCGGGCTAGATTAGAGTCCTGAGTACCTGGGCTTTTTCAACCCTTTCTTCTGCGGTTCGCATTGAAAAGCCGCCCTGCCGAAAGCCCGACCCGAAGGGGTCCTTTCCATTTTTTGGCCCCCTCGCAGGACCCACAATGCCCGAAGAGGCCGGCTGCGAATTTGCGTGTAAATCCGGGAAAAAGACGGCGACAAAACCGCCGGGGCGTAAAAAGATTAAGAAAAACCGCGATTTTACGACCCGCCGGTGTTTTTCGGTGCCATTCCCTTGAAGGGTTCCTCGAAATGTGACCATCCCGATGGTCGGGAGGTCTTCCCTCGTTTTTGCATTCGGTCTGTGGAGGAGGATGCAACGCAGGGACGGTTTTGGTGATTCATTTCATTCTATCGATTAACGATCAAATAAAGTGGCGATGGCGTCCACGGGCGCACTTCCATGCCGTTTCCGTAAAAACTATTCGAGGGACTGCGGACCCCATGAGGTACGGGGGTGGATTCATCCCCCATGGAGGCCGAGCTGCTGCAGTTACCATTCTCCCCCGATTCTCGTTTCCCCAACTCCACCCCTTGCCAAATCAGAAATCTGCCTCGCTCCCAAGAATGGCCGAGTCGAGTCCTTCGAGGGCCATTCTGTTTTCCGAATATTATCGATCGGCCCCTTTTTCCCAGCTAAAAGATACGCTTTGGCTAGAAAAGTCAACGTGTCCACCCTCTGGTAATATCAACCCAGTCTGAAAAAAAAAAAAAACAAATCTGGTCGTTCCCAAAATTTCTCCTTAGGAAATTCATCCGTAACCTCATAAACTGGACTTCCATCTCGGTTTCCTGGAATTCAGAGTACCTTATTTCCCCAAATCCATGATATTTTCCGTGCCTAAGGAATACCCTTCGTCTAAATATCGAGAAAAGGTGTCGGTAACCTCGGGGGATAAAGCAGAGGCCGCAGAATCGCCGAATAGCGACCCGGACTACCGCAGCGCCACTCGGCGAGAACTAACGGGACATCGTTCTTACCCTCTTCGGGAAAGTGGTGAAAACGAGAACTCTGGTTCGTGTCCATGCTACCAGAGCGTAGAGATCCTACACAGAGGATGTAATCACGTATGAAATTATAAAACGTGTTAAAGATATTAGCAAGCAGGTTGGAATAAGAAACTTCCCCTGCATTTTGTATTAAAAAAACGCCAGTTAGAAAATAACGAGTCCGATCAGCGATTAAGTAAACGGTATATTTATTGTTATCGTTATCGCGCGCGCACGCGCGCTTAAGGCACTTGTTACCAATATAAAAGTGTACGTCACAAAATGATCTCGCCAATGAGCATATTTAAATACTGATATTAAACAACTAATCGCATTTACGTAGAACAATCTCAGACGTTATGGGTTGTGTATGCGCACGCGTCGTTTAAGAGGAGCCCCTCGCGTATCATTTTCTCGGTTTCCCGATTTTCTCTATTGACAAGTCGTCGGCACTAGTCGTCTACTCTAGGCACGAGTCTCTCTCTCTCTCTTTACTAACTCGGCGTAAAAAGCTCCTCTACAACGTAGCCTAAATCCAATTTAAACTAAAAGCGGGATACAGTAAGTAAGAGATATTAATAAGAGGTCGTTAACGAGTAATTAAAATGGTACAGTATACGAGTTCGTTAATGCTCCTGGAAGGTGCATCGGGTCGCCCCGTCTCGAGGGCGCGAGATTGAAAAAAAGAAAAGCCGTCGATTCGCGTAGAAAATCGTAAAAATCGTAAAAAAAAAAAGGGAAGAAAAAACAACCGACCGCGCCGTCGTCGTCGATCGTAGGATCGTAAAGTTCATCGATTCGATCGATTCACCAATTTATTCCATTCCCCGGGACACGCTTCCGAGCAGCAGCGACCTGCACATCCTCGAGAATTGCATTTTAAATATTTATAATAACGAATCCTCCTCCCATAGTCGACAATACCTTTCTGGACACGGCGCGGTAAATCCCAATGATCGGGTAAAATGATAAACTCGAAGAGCCTAGAAATATTTCCGATATTAAAAACATCGATTTTCCATACGAAACATTGTTAATGATAATGGTCGAAATTAAATAGGTAAAGAATACGGTCGTTAATACTTCAATACTCGTGAGATGCCCCGAATGATATTGCCACTCCGAAGAATACATCTGTCTACCGTTCAGCTATCTGTCCTATCATATTAACGTAATATGTAAACGAAATCGCATCCTTGCGTTATATACTCTATATCAAAAGGCGTACATATATATTCTCGGCATTCGCACGACTACAGTTATAATAGTACACCATCAAACTTAGCGTGCAAACGGCAAAAGGAAATCTCATTAAGGTGCCTCCACAAGGCCTTTCCTCTCGCCGAGGAAAAGTGGGAAAGCCTATTGCAACTTTGATCTTACGGTTTTCACTCGCTTCTTTTAATTTCACACCGCGAGGGGGCAATGGCTTGGCGGTCTATGGAAAAGGAAAGAAAAATATATAAATATATATATTTATATATTTATATATGTATATATTCATCTCCGACGTCGTAATACTTGTATAAAAAATATTACTTGCACCTTATTGCTGGACGTACGTGGAATTATTGCTAAATAATCAATGTCTACCTAGGTCCTTTTCGTCTCCTTATGCTCATCACGGGATATTTCGGGATAAATCGGGATAAACCAGGATAAATCGAGATATCTGCGAGGTTAAGACTGCCAAGCCATTGTCGGTTCCATCGCGGATACTGAGCTGCCACTTAACTAATACATAAATCTATATATGCAATAATATCAACCCTACCGGCCAACTCAAATGGACGGTATTAGCATGACCACGTATTAAAAAGAAGAAAAAAAAATAAAAGGAAAGAAAGAAAGAACAAGTACACTTTTGAACGGCCACGAGTTCTCTCGTGCTCCGAGAAGGAGGCCGCGACGCGAATCTTAGGGCTAAAAGATATTTATGTATCTCTATAAATATCATATACTCTCCTCGCGCGTAACTTCCGATTACATAACTGCGTGTTGTATAAAATCGTAAGGAAATTTTACAAACTAACAGGGCACGCTCGCATTCTCTCGCACTCGCACACTTACTCTCACTCCTACCCTTCCTCACTAATCATACCGATAACTGCAACTTCGTATAACAAGTATAGACTTTATATATATAAAAAAAATATATATATATTCATTTCGTGGTTACTTCCCTCCATCTCGATCTCTCAAATATTTTAAAGGTCTAGAAAAAGAAAAAAAAAAAACTCTGCTGCTGCCTACTTTTAACAATTACCACGTGGCTAAACGTTTCGCATGGACGGTTGTTGCTTTGAAAGGGTGACGACCGTGGCACGCGTCGTCAGTTCGATTGCAAAAATCAAGGCACATCGTTATTCGCAGTGTTTCGCGGGCGAAAAGAGGAAAGGGGAAAAAAATAAAAGAAAGAAATAAAGGAGAAAATAAACAACTAGAAACGAATGAGAAACTTATCCAAGTGGCGCGCCGGCGACTTTGGCGAAAAACCTACTTGGCGCGCGACTTAGTCTCTAAACACTTCGCCTCCGGTTGCGCCTCGAGGCAGACCTTAAACGCGTCGACGGAAACTCGAGGGAAATCCATCCCCCAGTTTCCAGAGGGATGTCGGCATATGCCAAACTTAGGTTTTCCCACGATCGGTACATCCCCAGAAAACCCCGACGTCCTAACCCGCCGTTTTCTCTTAAACTCTTTCTTCTCTCTGCCGAGCGAGTCAGATTATCATCTTCTAGATTAAGCCTAACTCGTTCGGCGCGCAAGATCGTCGTGTCCCGACTTATATTAACGATCGGACGTTTATAAAATCACTCGATCTAATTAAGCTCTGGATTTTTAAGGCACGAACGGTGATCGCTCGATCGTCCTAGGCTCGTGTACAACCAGAGGAGCACGTACACGTTTTAGGCTACTACGAGATAAATTGCATTAAATGTCACGGGAATACACCCGTAGAGTAACGTTGAACCCGTCGAGGAACAGTTTCGTTTTTCCCCCTTTTCTCGCAAGTCCTCGACGGAACAAAGTTGAAAAGAAGTCGCCCGTGAGTTAGCAGGTCCACGGACCCGATTCTCGAGTTCATGCAAATTCTTTTTTTTTTCTCCACATACAAGTAGATTCGCATAAAAGATTTTGCATTCTCGCGAAGTCGCCTAATTGGTCAACATTTGAAAGCCATACACTAAGCAGTCAGTTTCGCATGCGAAAGTTGATTTTATGAACTCGAGAATAGGGTGCCGATTTTTCTTTTTTTATTTATCCACATACGAATAGAATCGCATGAAAGATTTTGCATCGTTGCGAAGTCTTGCCTTCGGTAAACATTTGAAAGACGTACACTAAACTGTCAATTTCGCATGCGAAAGGTGATTTCATGAACTCTAGAATCGGGTCCCGGTTTCGGGCGTTCCGCGGGTCGCTTTAAAAAAGAAAAAAAGAAAAGAAAAAAAAACCGGAAGGAATAAACAAAGTGCTTATTTCCCTCCGTATCTGAAGTCTACAATCTAGTTGCTGTAAACGGAGCGCGAGCGTACGCGGCTCCTTTAATCGAAGGCGAATACTGAGACGTGTTCATCAGGGGGTCGTTTTACCGCGACTCGGCTCTCCTTACTTTAATTGCACTTGATTCGTCTACAACCTTCGAGAAAGCGTGAGGTCTTGCGAACACATCGGGTTTTTAACATGGTAAGGGACCACAGGAAAAGAACGTGCCAAGTGAGAATAAGTTCATAAGTTCACGATAATGACGCAGTCACTGTGCCCTAAAAGCGTTCTAAAAAATGTATTGTCCTATGCGCCCTCTTCCCTGATATATCCATCCGACAATGCTTTCAACAGTTACAAATACGAGTCTAAAAAATACATATTTATATATATATATAACGTTCCTCGAACCACTTTAACATCTTAATCCTTCTCGATATACTCTGAAGCCCAACAATTTTCTGACCAGTTGACACTGGTCGGAAAAATTAACATACTCCTTCAATTATTTAAGAATGACAGAGAACAAAACTCTAATTTTTTTTTATCCTTCTCCCGGACATCTTATAATGCCTCCTTCGCCCACGATTTTCAGGAAGACTGTAGGTGCGGACGTAAGCGCGCGAAATTAAAAAGAAAATTAAAAAAGAAAAGAAGAAGAAATTAAAACATCGAATCCGGTCTGTAAAATAAAATAAAAACCGTGCGAGAGGTTAACCGCGAGCAAATCGAAAGGAAAGATTAATCGATTTCGTAAAATAAAAATACCAAATCCTAGCAACATGGAATTCCTTGTTAAAACCGTAACAAACCATAATAGATTTTTCTGATAAAAACTGCCTGGCTTATCATTCCAACTCCTTACCCACTAATTTCAGACTACTGTCCTGGCTTAAAAAACATCGTAAAAATTAAAATTCATTTAAAACAGTACTTGACACATTCTTACCCCATAATCTTACCCGGGCGAGACAGACGACCGTATGAATATCTGATACGTCATGATACCAGACCTTAAACCTGACCAAGGGGGCACCATGTAGAAACGACAAATAAATTTCTCTTTGAACCCCGCCGAGGAGATTTCAACGTATCTAAAATCAAGGTCCCCAGTTCCCACCCACGTAAACGAGAAATAAAATAATCCCACCAATTTTGTCCCCTCTAAAACTCAAGAGCCGATTAAAAAGCAACCATTGAACGAAACCTAAGAATCTCTCCATGGTATCCCCCTCGGCGGAAGAAAAATCGCGAGATGTAAAATTCGTGTCCGAATCTCGATCGTCCCCTCTTAAACCGATCCACAACGATCTACACGAGGCACGCCGGAGTGCTCTCCACCATTCCATCATCAACAATCGTTACGTATTTAATTAATTATTGTCAACGCAATCGTACCTTCCTCGTACCTCCGAGTAGCCGTATATAACATGAAAAACGAATATATAGAGCTATGTACACGAAACTTAGCACGCATACATGTACGTGTAAACTGTTCGTGCACAATGTGTACACGTACACGTGCGCGTTCGTAATTGATTGTTGAGCACGCAGGGTCTGAATTAATCGTAATCGTAGGCCCTCAGAAAAAAAGAAGTTTGAAAATTGTCCCCCCTAGTGTCCGACTCATGAAGAAGTTCCCTAGGCTAGGTAGAAATCATTGGATTCGCGTGTTCTCGACTTCCGACGTAGTCCCTTCTCTGATTATTGCAGATTCCTTGGCGAGCCGATGTTTGACGGATGGTCAGAGCCTCTTTTCCACCCACTACAGCCACGTCAGCACGTTCTCCGGTTTACTCGTGTTGGGATTGATTAACGACTGGACATCATCCAGGATGTCGCTGCTAAACTCCTCCCCCAACTGTAACGAAGGATCATCGCTAATGAAAGAATACAAAATAATCAAAGCACTAGCCGAGAATCGGGCGGAGACACGGATTCGAAGGTGCCTCCACGCGTCGCTAGGAATATTTTTATGAAATACCTGAAGAGAAGGCACGAGATCACTCAGTGTAGACAAATCCGGAGTCTCCATGGGCGCACCTCCCTCTATCAAAGATACCTTCATTATTTATATCGTAATAGTTCCTGGAGTGAAATTTCGCGGTACGCGATATTATCACCACTCGCCGAGGGGTGTTACGGATTCGATGAAGCTTTATTACCGCTAGTCCCATCCATGTTGTCGTCGATGTTGGCGAGGAAGTCTTCCGGCGTGTGAGGAAGGGAATACGCCGAGCCGAGGCCAAGCCCGCTGTCGGCGCTCTCCTGACGCGCGTGTTGTTCGTTAATACCCGACAAAAATGGATCCATCGCAGCATCCGTCGTGCTTTGTCGTAGCATTAGTTCTTGCTGAGGAGTTTAAGAAAGCAGCCAATTAAATGATCACCTCGGAGGCCCGGCAATAGACCCAATTACCAGAAAACGAGCCGACCTACCTGACGCATGATTTCCTGCTGCCTCTGTTTCAGTCGTTCGCGTTCCATTTGCAACGATTGGAGTCGCAGTTTCTGTTGACATGCCTGCAAGGTTTGACTGCTCTGAATACCACCTCCACCGGGTTGCTGCAGCCAGTTCTGCGGCAGCATGGCACCGGATGTAGGGGCCCTTTGTAGATGTGTCGCTGTAAAACGGGTACGCCTTCGTTAGATTGCTCAAATTACAAAATGGCGGATAACTTCGGGGTGAGGCAATAGAGATTGTACTAACGAATTCTCGGGTCGAACCACGAGGTGGTACGCGTCTGATGATTGATGAAATAGATCTCGCCTTCCGGGGTGCGTGCCTGTTCCCATCCATCGGGCAGAGGCCCCAGCGAGCTGGTGGCTCCCGAAGATGTCTTTCCACTTTCCACAGCAGCGGCCACCGCAGCGACGCTCGCCGCTGCAGCCGTTTTCCTGGGGTCCTCCCATGTCGTCGTCCTCGTCAGGTGGCTGGAAAACCAATATAAAAATTAGATCCTTAGAGGAAAGCAATACATCTTCGAAGTTTTCTCTAATTTTCTCCAATTTATCACCCTATAGGGATCAACTCAAGTGCCGCCATGTGGAGACCCCCGTACCTCTTCGGTTCGATAAACGAAAATTACCCATCTACCTACTTATACAGTTTAAGGTATGTGCGCAATTGTTAAAAGAGCTACTTCTAGCAGTAAATAAACAATACTCGTTAAATCGTGATTACGGATTGATCAGTTTGAAATTCTTCCTCCTCCCTCGAGTACATTACGAAGGTCCGTCGATCCAAGATGGCGGACTCCGCGCACCTGTCGAGGGTTGACCGGAACGACGTGGATTTATCATTGAATTAATACCGATTTAGGGATCTCTTTAGATTCGAATTATCGATAGGGACCTTTTTAGGTTCTTTCCCGATGAATGGAAGATCCCCAATCATGGGAACCCATGAAAACGCGAGTGGAAGCGCCTTCGGCCGTTCGCCGACGGGAGCTCCCTCCCGCCGCCACTCGCGGAAACTGTATACTATGTACACCGGTGCGCTTCGTTATCCCAATATAGTAGAGCCGTCCTAAAAATAGTTCCATTCAAAAGACGATCCTCTCGACGGAAAGAGAGGACACCCCCTCCCGGGTGTCGCCCCTCCTCCGGGAAGGCGCGCGGGGATTTATTCGTAACGAAACTAAACGAGAAACGCAGCGAAACCAAATATTCTCGGCTTAGGCCGGCCTGATTTATCGCCCGGTGACCCTCGAGGAGAGGAGACCGTCATCGCCAGGGCGAATTAAGACCTCCTGCCGAAGGGGAGGAGGGACAGAGAGGTGCGTTTATCCTCCGAAACCGAGAATAGGTCTAGAAAAGAGATTGTTTTGCAGGCCCGACTGACGTCAGACCTTCGATATACGGGGGACGGGAGGTGACGTCAGACCGCTTCCTGCAGCCGGGACACCTTGGAAGTTGGCGCCGGCCGATTATCCCCGAGAGCCTCGCTAAATCCGGCGGTACGACGGATCGAATCTTTTTCGGGCCGTTTCCTACAACCGGGACGCCCATCTAGTCCCGGCGCCAGCCTCCGCGGTCATTCGCCGTCCTGTTGCCGAGGGAAAAAAAAAAAAGGCCGTTCCACTGGGACTATAAAAAAGTGTCCGTCCAAATCGTTCGACGTCCGTAAAAACATGTGTTTACCCCCGGACACCTCGTACACACCGTTCGGATCAAGGCGTTTCTACCGGGGGTTCTAAGTCTCGGGTCGACCTTCGGGCTCCACTATTCTCCGTTGGCCCTCTTTTATACTTCTTTTTTTTTCTCGCCATTTGCTATAAAATTAAGAAGCTAACGCTCGTCTGGTCCTCTTCCAGGGTTAATCGTGGCTCGACCTAGCGTCTATTCCGAGGCGTCTCGCGTCGGCCTCGTCGATTTCCATGCAGTCTCGGAATCGGGCCCCCTTCTGGACCGCGAACGGCCTCGTAGGCTCGCGCTGGCTCTCTTCCAAAGAACTCGGAAGAGTCGCGCCGCGCGGCGCTGCCGTCGCCTCGGTCCTCCTCGGGCGCCATCGGCCGGAGCCCCTCGTTGAGAGGCTCCCGGAGGGTCGCGAAGTTAACCGCACGCCCGCCGTCCCACTGGGCGACTTCGTGTCTCACGGAGCGCGTCGCGTCGACGCCTCTAATATGATAATAAAAAAGAAAGGAAAAGAAAAACAGAATATGAAACTGAAATTTATCGTTTCCACTGTTTCACCTGAAACCTCAATATTGACCGAAGAAAAAGTAATATTTAAAATAACATTTAAAACCAATTACACAAATCCGTACCAACGCGCGAAGGTGGAAAGAAATAGCGATTGATCGTAGAAAAATGGGCTTTGCAGCGTATTTCAAGACATGAGAATTTATATGTAATATCGTAACAAGTTTCACTTTAAGGCCAATCAGAACTGCGCCCAATCCGGATGTGATTCGGTTAATCCTCGATGACGCGCAGCTCTGTGTGACGTTCTCCGGCTTAAACGGGATAACTTCCGATAGTCACTTCCGGTAATTAACCTCGGAAAAAGCGTACGCAGGTGAGTCGAGGAAGCCTATCGGTTTGGAGAAGCTTTTTCGGCGCGTCGAGCCAAGGAAAGCGCGCTCGGTGGGACCCGCGACGCGCTCAGTGGGACTCCGGGCGCGCACGAGGCCGAGTGTAGAGGCGAGCGTCGGCCCGTACAGAGGGTTTCTGTGTGCCGCACCGGCGTATACGGACCACGGTGTATTTTTACCCCGGACATCACGGCGCCGGACAACTCGTAAATAGACACTCTCTCCGTCGTGCCACGCCGCGCGATGCCCGGCCCCGACGCGCTCCCTCCGAGGAGAAGAGGAGAGAGGCCTAACGGCCCGGAGGACGCCGGCAGGAATATTTTCACACGTGTTTTTCGCCAGCTCGCCACAACTCTCGGCCGCCATCTTGTTTTCCTGGATCGCACCCTCCACCTCTCGACTCGTTGCCGACGTCTCGACAAACATCCACGCCGCCTCCCTCTTCGATTGTTCTCAAGCGTTATTCACAATAATTTACAATTTGTCAATAAAATTCTGCGAGTATTTTCACACGTGTTTTTTTTCAAATCGCCACAACTCTCGGCCGCCATCTTGTTTTCCTGGATCGCACCCTCCGCCTCTCAATTCCTTGCCGAAGCCTCGACAAACATCCACGCCGCCTCCCTCTTCGATTGTTCTCAAGCGTTATTCACTATAATTTACAATTTGTCAATAAAATTCTGCGAGTATTTTCACAAGTGTTTTTTTCCAGCTCGCCACAACTCTCGGCCGCCATCTTGTTTTCCTGGATCGCACCCTCCACCTCTCGACTCGTGGCCGAGACCTCGACAAACATCCACGCCAAATCCCTCTACGATCTTTACCAGGCGTTATTTATTATAATACGTAAGTTATCAATTGAGTTCTGCGAATATTTTCACACGTGTTGTTTTCCAGCACGCCGCAACTCTCGGCCGCCATCTTGTTTCCCTATATCACACCCTCCGCCTCACGAGCCACGTCAACTCCCTCCACGACCCTTACCAAGCGTTATTTATTATAATGTACAAGTTACCACTAAAACTCTGCGAACCGGCCAGTAGTTCTCCCTCGTCCCAGTCCATTGACGATCGATCAAGTCGAAAAGATAAATGAAATCGCGTTAGTAGGATTGAAATCACCATTTTACAAGGGCGTGTCCCAGTGTACATGCTTAAAACCGGCCGATTCCGAGTACACTGATTTTCCCCTCTACTCGGAATCGTTTTCTCGGCGATTTCCTCGATTAGAATCACGCGAAGAAAAAAAAAAGGAAAAAAAAAGTACGCGGTTAATCAGGCAAGCGGAACACCTCGGCCACGTGCAATCGTACGGGCGTAATGTCTTATCAGCAGGAGGACCTTGAGGGTGCTCCTTAAGCCGAGTTTACGACCCGGGACGACGATCGACACCTCGTGTCGTGCCATATACCTTGGTACAACTGGAGCGATGATGTTTTTTTTTCTTCTCCTCTTTCCTCCACCTCGAAATATTCGAAAGAGCCTTCGAGGCGGCCGCGATAAGGCCCGGAATGCAAATCGCCGTCGCACTTCTCGAAAGCCGGAGACCTTCGGTTAGACTCCGCTCACGGAATGCCTAATCTCCCGCGAAGAGCTGGGAATACGCAAGTGCATATAGAACGGTAAATCTACCCGAAGGTATGCGCGCGCCGGTGCAAATTACGCGTCAACACCGGAAAACAACGAACCTTTGCTTACGCGGCTCTAATGGGACAATAAATTCGGCTTAACGCTCGATTTCTCCGACGACGAGAGGCGCGTATATAATACTCCATCCTGGTTTAATCCCCAGGTGACGCAAGAATTATTCCCCCCCCCCCCCCGAATCTGAAAATTTCCGGGCAAAATATACAGGAGATATCCCAAGAAGACACGACAAGAGCGACGAGTCGACCCGAAAAATTGAAGCAGTGAATATGAGTGTCTCTAAAATATACATATAAAAAAAAATGCTCGATGTTGAAATTGACGCGTATATAATACTCCATCCTGGTTTAATCCCCAGGTGACGCAAGAATTATTCCCCCCCCCCCGAATCTGAAAATTTCCGGGCAAAATATACAGGAGATATCCCAAGAAGACACGACAAGAGCGACGAGTCGACCCGAAAAATTGAAGCAGTGAATATAAGTCTCTCTAAAATATATATATATAAAAAAATGCCCGATGTTGAAATTGACAATCTTTCATCAACCAATGGGAGCGTTACAAATAAGAGGAAGCACTCCCATACATCCCTGGAAGGTTCGATTAGGAGTAAAAGTTATAAATAAGAATCTCCGTTCCGCAAAGTACGGATATAAAATTGAATAGCGATTCGTTCAAAATATTACCCTCGGGCCGTCAACCCACCCTGAGAGAGAAAAGAAAAACAGTTCACTGAACCAAAGAAACGTTTAATTGAATAGTACCGATACAAATATTTCCCGTTAATTCCAAGAATAATTATTTCACGGAAGTAAATCGTCGTGATTCCGAGTGAACGTTGCATCCTGATTTATTCGAGCTTATTCGAGTGAAGTCGTTATTAATCGAATTGACAAAGTATATCCTTGGTTGGATGGTATTTATTTTCCTCGGTGCCCCAGGTTTGGGGGAAAGTTTGATCGACCCCCCGCAATGTCGTTTTCGTATCGCCTTAAGGTGATGTTAAAGTGGCGTCGAAGAGGTTTCGTTTATAAAACTTTTCTCCCAACTAGATTAACCGAATAGTTTGTAACCTTACAACGTGAATAGGGAGACTATAAGGAAGGTCCTGAAACTCATGAAATTTCAATTCTTTTCAAATTTGTTTATGGGTATTTTAAAAATAGTTTATAAGAAATGAAATCTTGCGAGTTTCAGGACCTACCTTAGGGTCTCCACATTCACGTTTTAAAGTATGAAACGATTTGAGAGACCCAGTTCTATGAAAAGTTTTATGAACGATTGAGCTTTCGGATGCCACTTTCACATCCCCTTAAGAGAAACTCGGTGTCTCGCGGTTCGTATCATCCAGGATTAATAAGAACGAACGGAATCAAGAGGGATGAGAGAAATAAGGTGACGTTAGAGGTGATAATCCAGCAACAGGTGGGGGCCCGGTGGCACAAGTGCGTCGCACTTTGCGCGCCTCGAGACAACCCCGATAACGCTAAGATAAGCGCGACCCGTTATCACGAGGGTCGGACGAATCGATGTACGGTGGATTTCTAGCCGATCGTTATCACGCCCGGCATAAATCGGCCTCTTCCGTATATATATCTCCTACAAATGTATAATCGCGTCGCGCGGCATTCGCCTCGTGTAATCGCGATAGCCGTTTAAAACGATAAACTCGCGAAGTATGAAGCTTACCGAGATATCTAAATCATTCCCACGGGTGTTCATTATTTTTCTCGAATCTCCCGGTTGCGCAAACCTTCGCCGCGCAGATTCCTCTTCCGACAACAGGTGGGTCCGATGGAGCATGTGCGTCGCTCGGTTTGTGCGCTTCGAAAGGAGTCACCGATAACTCGAGTACGGAGCCGTTATCACCGACCGATACGCGACTCCCGACGTGACTGACGGTAGCCCGCCCGCTTGAAAACGGCCCCCTGGTCTCCTCTCCAAAGTTCCTGTCCCAAGGATGAGACCGATGAGTCCGAGGTAAAATACCAGAAAATGACAAAAAAAGAAAAAAAAATCTCGCACACTCGTTTTTGCCGCGCGGTAGCGCCAACAAACGAATAAGAAACCCTTAATCAAGGATTAGCAAACTCTCGATTAGAGTTAATCGCCCGATTTCGATTACCAAGTAATGGATTTTAATCATTGGTTGGGTTCATTTCTCCGTCCAACACGAATAGCATTCATTCAAGATTAACTGATAAACCGGAGAAAAAATAAAAATGCATGGAAGCAAAGAAATATTCATGTTAATTCCAAGAATAATTACTTGACTCGAGTGAATAATTTTTCGAATGAGTTAATCATTTCATTTGTTCGACGAAATTCTTTTCTCAGGGTAGGTTATGTGAGTTCACCCTAATCACGGTTGGTGTAACCGGCGCTTAGATCAACCTGCGAGATGCCTACATCCAAGGTCCATGAGCCCCGATCGCACGGTCCAGGAGAAGGCATTGTCCGCTCCAACGGAAATCTCCCTTCCGCCAATGGGGAGCGCGCAATGGCGGCGGAGGATGCGCGGGCTAAGGGTCGCTCGCCTTAGACAATGACAGGGCCGAAGGTGGCCGCGAGTCGAGGAGGGGACGCTAATTGCGGGGGGAACCTTGGTTTCGTCCGAGGCGACCAGACGAGGAAGGAGACGAAACCCGACGAGGGCCGAGCGAACCCGACGACGGCCGAAGCGGGTCGGGGGGAAGGCGGAGGTAATCGGACGGGCGTGCGTGCGACTCGAGGGAGGAACTCGAACACGCTCGACCAAGTTTAAACCCGATCCCCCGGCGCTGTCGACCTTGCGGGTATTGTTTCACCTGCAGGACGTGTGAACTCTCGCCGTTCCTCGCCTAAACCTGGCCTGAACCCGCGAGAAAGGGGTTAAGAGGATGCGAAGAAAAAGAAAACAATATGGAACCTCGCCAGGGGCTCCGGCGGATTTTCAAAATGGCCGCCGCGCGCCGCCTCGGCCCTTCGGTGGCGGGCGCCATATTTAAACGGTAAATCCACGACGTCGCTCCCTCCCCCCCATGTAAATAAACACCCCACTAAAGGTAAATTCTCCACGAATAATCTCTCTCCCGGGAGCTAATCCGCCTTATTCGTAAGATATTCGAAGAGGATGGCGTGGCGTCCGAGTCGAAGTAACGGCGAGTCGGGCGCCGCCACTGCGCGTGCGCGTACCGACCGGTCTCTCGCGTCCGTCTTCCTCGAATAATGTCTCGGTTCCCACGAGTTTACACTTTGCGCGCAGCAGGTAGGCCTTCTCACAGGTCCACGGGTTCGTGGGTGAGCCAGGGGCGTACCTCCTGAGGTGGATCTCCTTCCATAAATCGGACCGATTCAACGGATGCAAGTATAACCTCAAACACCGTGTCCCGGGTATCGGCGGTTTCTTTTTTTCTACGAGATAGGTAAAGAATAAAATTCTCCCGTCTAGACGGCGGTGCATCGAGAGAAAAAAAAGGAAGCTTCGCCAAGAGGACCCAGGTTCCAAGGATAGGCGGCGCGGACCTGGATAATCCCTGGAAGGACCATGAATGGAGCCGAGAAAAGAGACGGTCCGGTATTGTTCCCGTGATTTTCGTCGTCACGCTCTTTCTCGTATCCTTCCCTCGGTAAGGTGGATTCCCAGGAACCCTCCATTCATTCTGCCTCGGATTAAGATGCGAGCCGGCGATAAATCGGCCCCGTCTGGGGCCCCGTTTACATGGAGTACCTGAGCGAGAAGATCTCTCGAGAGCACCTTCCAATACCTTCGACGAATTCGAGAAAGAGTCAAGGTATTCGACTTCGATTCGCGACTATTGCTCTGAATTTGTTATTCATTTATCGCTTTGTCATAGTTACGCGACATTAATCATTCCCCTTGATCTTCTATCGAGGATATTAGAATCCACATAATCGTCCTCTAAATTTTTAATTATCTATTTTCGAAAGCGCCGCGCAGCGTCTCCGCATTCTGCAGAGCGGTGCCGTCTCACCTGCGGCTAATCATTCCCGGAAAAGGAACCGAAAAACAGGTAGAGCGGTTGAACATATTCGAATCCATTTAATTGTCCTCTGAATTTTTAAATATCTATTTTCGAAAGCGCCACGCAGCGTCTCCGCGTGCTGCAGAGCGGTGCCGTCTCACCTGCGGCGAATCATTCACGGAAAAGGAATCGAAAAACAGGTAGAGCGGTCGAACATATTTGAATCCACTTAATTGTCCTCTACATTTTTAAATTATCTATTTTCAAAGGCGCCACGCAGCGAATCATTCCGGGAAAAGGAACCGAAAAACAGGTAGAGCGGTCGAATATATTCGAATTCACTTAATTGTCCTCTAAATTCTTAAATATCTATTTTCGAAGGCGCCGACCAACGTCTCTGCGTACTGCGAAGCGGTGCCGTCTCACCTACAGCGAATCGTTCCCGGAAAAGGGACCGAAGGACAGGTAGAGCGGCCGAAAGCGATGTCTCATCCCGAAGTTGGCAAGGAAAGGTCACCGTCTCGAGATCTCTCGAGAATTCTAGGAGTCGGGCTGCACCCGGATACGTAGGATCAGAATTCACCGAGCCCCGATCCTACGCGACGGTTCTGCACGACCGGTTGACTTTCATTAAAAGGAAAAAAAAAAGAAAAGAAAAAGAACCTAAGCCAAAGAGAAATTCAAGCAAGACCCGGTCGCTCGCGCCCGTCATTCGTCATTAATTAATCACATATCACGAGCGCAATTGCCGTTGACGATACGGTTCACCGATAAATAAACAACCGGTTGTTGTGCCCGACACATGAAAGTAATCGGTCGATAAGAACAGATTTTTCTCCCGCCGGAGTACAGTAGACTCCCGTATAACGCGGTTAATACGTTACGCGCTGCATAAATTGTTATATGAGATCCTGTTGAACGGGAATTTTTCTTGTATAATGCGAATCAAGTATTTTTCTTTTTATTATGAAGAATTGTATTTGAAGAAAGTAATCGTAATATCTTCGGCGCGTTATACGGGAGTCTACTGTACGTGCCACGTGACATCGCTCTAAGGTGAATTTTCTTATCGGACACGTATCGATAAGGCGAAATGATACGATCCGTGGACCTGGTGTAAACGTAGTCGGCAGAGTCGCGCTTTAAACCGCCACCCTGTGTAACCTGCGCCCTAACCCTCGGCACGCGCATTCCCACGACAGGTGTCACGTGGTCGGCGAGCCGCGCCTCCGAAGCGGCAACAGCGCGGCACGGGAGAGGGCAAGAGCCCGTGTCCGCGATGCTAGAACTCGGTACTTAAATGCAACCAGAGAGCGCGATAGTCAAGTGTACAACGTAAAGTCACGCGTAATATAGTCGCAGGAAGGTATCGAACACTGTACGTTGCAACATCGATGTCGATACAGTACACAAAAATGCATCCTACTGCATTTTTCGCGTGAAATGTTCCTCGGGAATTTCATTCGAGATCTCGTCCAGGACGAAGTCCATCGCGGGTACGAACGTTAATCCTTTAATTATGAAACACCATTATAATGGATTCTGTATGACCGACGTTTTTTTTACGAAGCGCCACTATAGTGACCCACGTACTCAAAGGGATAAATGAATATGAAATTCATATAAATTATTAGCGCCCTTCGGTTCCACGTGTTCAAGGCGACAAATGAATATCGCATTCTTATAAAATATTAGCACTCCACGACTGAGGTATCCGTCCAGGGACCCGATTCTTCGATCCATCCGATGAACTTTCGCGGGTGAAATTGATAGTCCCGTGCACGACTTTCAAATGTCGACCTACGACGCGAAATTTTTTTTTTCTGCGAATCTATTTGTATGCGAGAAAATTCTTATGAACCAGAGTATAGGGTCCCAGGTGGTGCATCTCCACGTACGACTCTGCCGCGGTTAAAGGGTTAACCTCGAGGAGAAAAGAAGGGACACTCACTTGAGGAAGTAGATCTGGCCCTCGGGAGTGCGGGCCTGCTCCCAGCCGTGCGGCAGGGGGCCCAGGTCGTCGACGGTGCTGATGACGTCATAGCTGCGCTGCTTCTGGTGATGGTGGTGCCTGGCGTGGGGCTGAGGGGCGTGCTGGGGCGCCTGCTGGGCGGAGGCGTAGGTCTGCTGGAGGGAGGCGGGGCTGGAGTGGGCGCGGGGGTGCGCGACGGTGAGCCCGGGGGCAGCCGCGGGGGTCGGCGGCCCGGCGGCGGGGGGCTGCGCGGGCCCAGCGGCGGCGCCGGGGGGCCCGGGGGCGCTAGCGGCGGCAGCGGCCGCGGCCGCGGCGCCGTTGGTCGCGGCCCCGGGCGCCGCGCTGCCGCCCCCCACCCCGGGAGGCGCCACGCCGAACGCCGAGTCGGCCGAATTCTCACGCGAGTGCGATATGGAGGGGCTCTTGCTGCCCGTCGAGGGCGGGTTGAAGAACGAGTCCGGCAGGTTGCGCATGCGCAGCGGCACCTGCAGGGGCCGCTTGGAGTCGGGCTTTAGGACGCTGTCGAAGAGGGCCTGCAGGTCCGACTCGGAGTTCTGGTCGATCCTCACGACGAGGTTGCTCTTCGAGAGCTGGTCCACGTCCTGGTTGAGCGCCATCTTGAATCGCCGTCGCCGGCGCACCGCCTCGCGCGTTCAGAGCGACCTCCTCGACTGGCCCGAGGCCGGGCGCGCTCGGGGCCGGCACCGAGCGCTCGCTCCCCCGGAGCGAGCGAGTCGCCGCGCGGGCTTCCCTTTCCTCCGCCCCTCGGCCCGCCGACCCCCGGCCGTTTTGTCGACGTAGGCCGCCGCCGCCGCCGCCGCTCCTCCCGACCGCCCCTCGCGGGCCACCTGCCGCCGCCGCCCGCGGCTTCCGAGCGGCGCGCGATGCGGGCCCCGCCGAAGCCCGACGCCGAGTGGCCCCACGAGTCGGCGCCCTGGCCGCCCTGCGGCCTCCCGCGCCCGGGAGCGTGCGCCGCCGAGCTGGCACGCTCTTAAGAGAGCCACGACCCGGCCCCACTCGGCGATCGGCGGGTCGGTCGGATTCGCGGACGCGCGGGCTCTGGACTTTCCGGACGGGCCTCTGGCACTACCGAGCCGATCCGACACTCTGCACGGGCACCCACCGCCGGAGACCTGGTACCGACACGACGGTGCACGTCCGCTGCACGTCGCAGCGAAGCACCGAGCCAAGGCGAGGCGTGTTGGCCTGTTGCTCTTTCTTGGCAGCGGACGGACTGGGGAGGGGGGTTAGGCTGCGCGCGCATGAGGCGAAATCTGGCGGCGACGCAGCGCCTCGAGACGCCAGATAGAAACCGAACCGAGGCTTGAGCCCGGATCGCGCTTTCTAACCGTAGATTTTGTTTTTCACCTTTTCTGATTTTCACGAATTTTTCTTAGGCCGTTTATACATGGTTCTTCCCCGCGATTAATTCCCGCCTACTTTTAACCTAGGACTATGAGAGGAAAAATATGAATGTCCCCTGGGAATTCTTTGTTGTGAATTATCGGAGTAAATTAGGGTTAGGACGGAGCATAAACTTGGTTTTAGGGAGAATGGCAGGGAACGCGGGGAGTTTAGTTGCGGTTCGGTTTCTCTCGTTCCTCATTCTTGCCGTTCCTTATTCCGATGACGTTTTTCCGATACGAAATGCGACGACGATTGTCCTTAATTGGACACCACTTGCTTTTGGGAGCGGCTTTATGATCGCGCGTTGCGAGTACTGACTAACCTCGACACCCAGAGCCGCCATTTTTCTTTCGCGACGTGCTCCGCCATCTACAATGGCCCACGGTCGATGGTTTCGATATTTCAGTTGTGGTTACATTAATTTATCGCCAAAAATGTAATGTTAATTGTTCGTCGCAGGCCTTTAATTTTCATGTCTCGGAGGAGGTGTGTGTCGGTCGCTTTAGGCTACCTTCTCAGGCATTGAATGCGCTCTTGTTTAACCGACTAAACTCGCCGACGAATGACGAAAATGTCTTCTAAGAGGTATTTCATTCTGTTTACGTTCCCGAATTAATGTCGCGGAATGTCCGCCTATTTATTTCTTGTTTGGCCCCTTCGAGGTAGAGTTACGGGAACGCTTTGCATGTGCATTATTTTTAGGAACATTTCCATTTAACTGTACAGGTTCGTCGGCTTTTTGCCTCTTTGTGGTCCTGCACTGGTAGCGAGCAATAAAAGTAATTCTTGTGCCTCCAGATTTGAGCATTCGGTGATTTCCTTAAAAGTCGATGCTGGTCCCGGCATGGCGATCGAAGCTCGAATCTTGTTTTCTTGAAAGAACGATCGAATATGCTAAACTATTCTTGAATAAACAAAACGACACAAATTTGCATGAATTTATTACTCCCATGGGTTACATAAATTAATTCCTTGTATTTCAGCGAACTGAAAAAGTTATCAGAGGAGAGTCTAACGAGGCAACCGGAGGAAGTATTTGACATTATTTGTAAGTTAGGAGAAGGGTAAGTATAATTATCTAAATAAGAATAATCATAACCGATTATTTAATTTATATCTAATCGTCACTGCTTTGAATTATAGGTCATATGGATCGGTATACAAAGCACTGCACAAAGAAAGTGGGCAGGTTCTTGCTATCAAGCAAGTTCCTGTTGATACCGACTTGCAAGAGATTATCAAGGAGATTTCAATCATGCAGCAATGTGACTCACCTTACGTCGTGAAATATTATGGAAGTTACTTCAAAAATACGGATCTATGGGTATTAATCTTGTAATTTAATTACTTCATATTTCTCAAAATGTTGCTTATCGTTTTCATTTAAAATGTTCTCGATTTAAAGAGACAGTGAAGAAATTTCAAGAGTTCGGGTGAATTCTATGAATATTTTTTTTCTGTCGTGCAGATTGTAATGGAGTATTGTGGTGCTGGATCTGTCAGCGATATCATGAGGTTACGAAAGAAGACCCTGCAGGAAGATGAGATTGCCACGATTCTCAGTGACACTTTAAAGGGCCTTGAATACCTTCACCTCAGGCGAAAAATTCACAGAGATATTAAAGCTGGCAATATCTTGCTTAATAACGAGGGGCATGCAAAGCTGGCTGATTTTGGCGTAGCAGGCCAATTAACGGTATGTTTCATGATTCTAACAATATTAATTAAGTAAAACTTGAAAATGTTTTGGATTTACTTATAATTGAATATTATTTGCAGGACACCATGGCAAAGCGTAACACAGTCATTGGAACACCTTTCTGGATGGCCCCAGAAGTGATTCAAGAAATAGGATATGACTGCGTAGCGGACATATGGTCTTTAGGTATTACTGCATTGGAGATGGCGGAAGGCAAACCTCCATATGGTGATATCCATCCTATGAGAGCCATTTTTATGATCCCGACAAAGCCACCTCCAAGCTTCAGGGAACCAGATCAGTGGAGTTCAGAATTCATTGATTTCGTCAGTGGATGCCTTGTAAAAAATCCAGAAGAAAGAGCAACTGCGACGGAACTACTCAATCATGAATTCATAGGTGGTTCTTATATTTCCTAATATTGCTTAGCCTTACCTTAAGCCTTTTATATCTCTTTTATCTTAACGAGGAGTGCAACTGAATTTTTACTTCTCAGGCAATGCTAAACAGCCCAGTATACTTAGTCAAATGATTGCCGAGGCACATGAGATCCGAGAGAAGCAAAGTGCCCATAGAGCTCATGTAATTAACAATGTGGCCATTAAAGGGCAAAATCATGCAGATGACTCGGTATTGTTCTATTTTTGTCATTGCAGATAAATAGGTAAATAGGGTAACATTTTGTAAATATTGAATACATTTGGCATTTTAGGATGAAGATGATTGCAGTGGAACCATGAAACCTCTTCCGGAGGACACTGGAACACTAGTTCCGAGTCATGATCTTCCTGACACAGGAACTTTGGTTTCGGCAATGCTAGACCTCGGAACCATGGTTATAAATAGTGATACCGACACCGAAGCAACTATGAAAAGTACCATAGGATCCTTACATGCTTAATAACCAAAATATCTATTACTTGCTACGTTATTAAATGGGGGTCCGTTTATTTACAGGGCATAATACTGGGTCTGTTGAATCTGGGAAGAAGTATCGACCATTATTTCTTGACCACTTTGATAAAAAAGAAGCCACAGAAATTGGAAAGGTGAGTTAAAAAAACAAGTAATTTAATAGTGCTCTCATTCAATGTTTGTTTTAATTATAATATTCCTACAGGGAAACGGTCAGATATCGGGTGTGCACAATCCTGACTCCGATAACAAAATGGAAATGCAAAGTCCCACAGAGTCACAAAGGTTTCAAAGTCATTTACAGCTACAAATTAGTCAGATTTCTCATCCGGTGCAAGAACAGCCTCATAATAACATATCTAAATTTCAAAATGTCTTCTCTGAGCGAGATTTTGATTTTGTAAGTATAATTTTATGTTGCGTGATATAATTTATGTTTGACAAAAAACGAAATGAACCATTTAATGTAGATGTGTAAGTATTACCTGGATCGTTTAATGTAGATAAAAAACCATATCCTGCAGCTGAAGTTCCTCTCTTACGAAGAACTACAGCAACGAATGGCCAGTTTGGACGCGGAAATGGAAAGAGAGATCGATGAGCTTAGAAGGAGGTATCAAACCAAGCGACAACCAATTCTAGATGCCATGGATACTAAACGCAAACGTCAGCAGAATTTCTAACAGTTTAGTACTTTTTTCAAGTGAGATATGTGTGTGATAGACGAAGGGTGTACAGATGTATAAATGAATAGATTTATTCTACGACCTCGTCCCCGGTTTGTTCAGAAAGCATCTCATCCTTTCTATCGAGTCATACCTTGGAAATGAGAGGGAAAAATTAATAGCATCAAAAACAAGCTTATTACAACGTAGTATCGAGAACAAACTTCTCACTTATGATGAATCGATGGAAATTCTTTCTGCAAACCTGGGGATTTTAGTAATCACTAGCCAATAGCCTGACGTCACCAATGTAAATTATTTTACACGACTTAGGAAACGAGCTACGACTATACTTAATTTTTTTATTACGTAGTGATTGTTAAATGCTATTCTTATAGATGATATAAATAATATACCTGAGTGTAGGAGACGTTTAGAGAATATAGCGAAGGAGATTAAAAGTGAATCGAGGTGTAAGTAGAGAGCCAGGATTTTAATCTTTTTTGAAAATCCTCAGCATATAAGAGCACTTAACGAAATTAATGCGTTGTGTAAGTTTATGCAACGAGCTAGTCACTTATGGCGCCATGTCTCCCCTTTTTTTTGTTTCTTGACGTGAGTACTGGGATGTATCAAATAAAATGTTATTTTTCACTTTACATTTCAGGAAACCTTTTCTGGAATGAATGTACATTCTAAAATAGTCTGGAATGTATTGGGTGTAGAATTGCACTTAAAATTCGATCAAGATTTTAAGAGGCTTGTTTCCATGTCGAAGAAACTATTTATCGTCGTAAAGTAATGAATGGATAATTTTATTTGATACATCCTATCGAGTACACAGATATTTGAGGCCTTTTTGAAAGATTCGCTCATATCGAATGCACACATTGTAAATCGTGTCATATTGACAGAAGAGCTGCCGGAGTGTGTAAAGTTTGTGTAGTTAATATTGCGAAGAGAACACCGTTAGAGAAATGATTTTGCTTCCTAATGTACTGCCATATATACATATTTGTACATTTTGCCTGCTAATGACAATTAGAATTTAGGAGTGATTTTCGCGTCTTACAGGAAAATGATTATATGAAAATGATCTTACAGGAAAAGGATTACGTAAAGTCTGCACAAGTATTAAAATACGATTTAGTTAATTAAATAGTAACACGGCGAGGTTTCTTTGATGAGATTTGTCTTCCGTGTTAGAACTCGAAATTTCATCCAGGACTAGTTTAGCTTTACGAAACATGGTATGTCTAACAATGGGAAAAATGACTTATCGAGTGTAAAAACAATTCGGTTCTTTATTTGAGAACAAAGCAAGGTAATTCCTGCTTCGATAAACAATTAGAAAAAAATTACCTCAGCAATATTTGATTAAGAAGAATCTACTCGAATAAGTCCGTTACGTTCTACTCGTGTAAAGAACGATGTAGTTGCACTTAGAAATCCTTCCTCGAATATTCCTAAAAAATAATCTAAGACGCGACAATTGTAAAGATTATTTATCTCGGTGAAGTAACGAATAATTAGCGATTAATAATAAGAGTTAGTGTCGTTTAGATCGATAGCAGGTGCTACGTATGCACCAGACATCGAGTTTATTCTTTGTTGACGTTTGGCTATTTTTCCCCTTTTTTCACGTGTAATGAATGTAGGAACATTTACACCTTAGAAAGCATATTATACAGCCCGAACTGACAATTAATTTACACTCGTTCATTTTAGAACACATAGTCGTACAAAGTATAACATACATATTTTTGATATAGAACGCCGATGCGCCACCGATGGTACACGCGTCAGATCTGAATCGAGAATTATTTATTATCGACTTTGGGCTAGCAATTTGAGATCAATGTAGTTAAAAAAAAAAAAGAGCGAAAAACTAAACAATAATATAGCGAGGACCTACGGAAAAAGAAAAAAAGAACACATTGCCCTAGAGTGGATTGCCTTTGGACTTCATTTATTCTCCGCTGTTTGTGACTTTCTTTTTACGCGCCTCGTCGCGCTCATAGAAGAAGTTAATATTAATTATTAATAGTCTACTCGTTAAGTACGAATATACAAATTTATTGGTCTTATACATTTTTAAGAGCACAAGTTGACAGAGTCAAAACACTTTATAGACGGTGACGCGTAGCAAGGGAATGCGTTCTCTCGTGTGTCATGTTAAAAGATACAGTCGATATACCTCTAGATCCGAATCCAACTCGTGTCTTGAGAAATATAAACCAGTGTCAGTGAGCAATGCTAGTATGAGTGAGTGATTCGGCGAGCGACCGTCGTGGACCCCGCGTTAATCTAGTAATTATCGCCTGACTAACCTTATCGCGGTTATCAGGAAGTAACCTTTTTATAAAACGCCGGGATATGTATTTCAGAGTGACGGTAGGAATACAATTTTTATTTTTTCACTAATAAAACCTGGCTGTACAATGTACCTCCTCGGGCATTTCTTCCCCCTCTTGTATATCTACAGTATAAAAGTTATTTTCCATTACTTTGTTAATTGCTGCATTAGCTTATCATTAGGTATTATTTACCTGTAAATAAGTACAATGCTAGTACGAACAGCGTAGGGCTTTAAACAATTTGTATCAAATTATATCTATTTTTGGTTTCCTTGTCGGAACGGAGTGTAGAATAATCTGCTTCATTTCGTGCATAAGTTTGTAATTTAAGTCTTTGGACGGATAATCGAAATCTCAATATAAAATAGTGCAGTGAATTTTATGTACCAAGCCAAAAAAAAATTAAATTGTATTATCGTTTGAATATAAAGTTTAAATCTCAAAAACGACACTGCATGTGCAGATCGATGTCAATTTCCTTTACAAATATTTGCATGTCGAAAATTTCCCCTTTAATTTAAGTAGCCGTTAATTATAGTTTGCCACCTCAGAAATTATATGATGGGTGATCGTATACCCATAGTATTCTATTGATATGTAAAATGAACAAGGCTTTAAATGCATGTGGTGGAATCGGAGTGAAGCCTATACCAGTAATTAATAGTGATACATTCTGGCGATATGCAACATTCGGTAACCTCCACACATGCATCACTCGTGTGTATCTCTCGTGCTTTATATTTTACAAAAATAGTCGAAGATAAAAACGTCAGCTAGTAAAAATGCTTCAATTGTGTCAAGTCAAAATCTCAGTGTACGTAGAAAACTATAATCTATTCTCGTAATATTAAGTTCTTCCCCTTAGGAAATTTAAAGATCATCGTCTCCTATTGTGTCGAATGCATAATTCTCCATGATATCACTGGGCTTTCGTGCTTTTACAGCTGGTGGTTTTTCAACAAGCTTTTTTACCAAAGTTTCTCCTCTTACCGTGGAGTCAGTATCGTCCTCCTAAAATGAAATCAAGTTGAATAAAAGAAAAACAATTAAGATATGTAGCTATTTTTCTACTACATCTTTAAATCGATTAAATAGTGTGGATAAACAACAAACTTTAATTCCGTCATCAGGTGACGAGGAATTTAAAAGTACTCGTAAGTGCCCATCTCGAGTAATATACGTCCATGATTTTCGTGATGGCCTTGGCTGTAAAATAGCATAAATTAAATAATATAAAAGATCTAGATGCTACAGGATACATTAAAAAATAATCAACTTTACCACGCTCTTGCCCCGTCCAGCACTCTTTAATAATAACTCGTCGATCATCGCCTGCAAACTGACCGACATCAAAATAGCTTGACCCGAAGAGATCGTTATCCATTGCAATTGATTCCTTGCTACCAAATACTGGAAGGACAATTCGTGATTACGCTCACTACTGTCACCGTCTTTATTAGCTTCCTGAAAAAATCTTTTATAAGAAAAGAACTTGATAAAATTAAATAATTGAGATGCAGTTGGTGTTTAAATAAATAGAATGGGGTGATTACAGGATTGTGCAGTGTCGTCACTCTCCAGCATCTCATTCGAGTGACCTTAAAAAGAGCTTCTCGTTCTTCATCTTGAAGATAGATACGTAAGCTTAGTTCGTTTCCTCCAATAGCCACTACAGCTTTCGTACCAGGCTCAGGATAGTCGCAAGAGCATGGTGCAAATTGAAGGTATCCATAATACTTTATCGATCGAACTATTTTCAGATACTATAATTAAAATAATAAGTGGTTAGATTGTGAGTTAAATTATAAATAAATGTTTTTACTATCATAATTATCTGAAAGCTTACTTCTTTCTGCTCACCACGTTCTCCAAGTTGCTTGAGACGTTCTTGTAGGTTATCAGGGACGAAGATATTACCTTTGTCTACTTCTGCAGATGCTTGAATGTAAAGCAAATCAAGACCAACAGGGTCATGCATTAATTCATAATCATATTCAGTGTCCCAATAATTCTTTCCAAATGTCACTCTGTGACCAATGATACGCATATTCTTCTGGGTTATCATTGGGGACTCGAAGTTCTGGAGTTTCCTTAAATCTGAAAAACAATTCACTTTGTAATCCCTGACTAAAAATAATACTACCGAAAACTTTAATTACTTCCGGCTGGCTCACATTTCAAAGTTCCATCTTCTTCCAATACAGTAATAAACAATGAAAAATAAGAGTCATACAATTCTGGGAGCTTAATGTGTCTGCAGATTTTCTGAAGAAAAAAAGAAAATTACTTTATACGTTAATAAGTCTTCAATGACAACATTTCCAGATTGTTATAAAGTGCACCTTTAAAATTTGGCCTGAGTGTTCTCTTGTAGAGACGAGTAACGTAATTTTACAGTCATTCATAAAATATATATTGAGCTTTTCATTTTCCAGGGAAACGCCCAGCGTCTCTTCTTGTGCATTTAGTAAAAATCCAGTTAACAATTCTGAGCAATTAATACTGGAGTTCTGTCCGACAGCTTGAATATACTCCTCCAATAGAAGCCGACGTTCCTCCTGTTGATTGACCGTCAAGGGAAATAATTTCTTAGGAGGAAACGGAGGAAGTTGTACATCGAAATCCTTTACTATCTGTTCGTGCAAATTGTGCAACTGTCTGTACCTAACGGTACAGTGGAACAATCCATTTATATGGATATTGTAACCCTAAAATATGCAACATATAAATTCAATAATATTTACATCACCAATTTGATTTTGTAATCACTAAGCATAAAAATTATGATTACCAAGTACGTATTCCCTGCACTGTCGATGATCTCTTGAGTGTCAGGAATGGAAAAATGCATTCTTACTGCATAAAACGTTATGATTCAATAAACTGTTAAATAAGTGTACAGGTGTATGGCCTGTAACAAATAACAACATTACGTAAAGTAGTGTTAATTCGAGCAGCTGATATTTACCATCTTCCGTAATTGACAGTGACAGTTCCTCGTCCTTCTCAGGCGACAGCACGCCCCACTTTGGCCTTAAAAGTCATTCCACCTTCGGCTCGAAACTCGTTGCGAGTTTGACAACCTACACATAGGGATGACGTATCTCTCTTAACTCATCTGTCAAATCGTTCTCCCAGTAGTCCCAGAGATGAGTTGGGAGATTGCTTACGGGCAGAGTCGCGCGATCGCAACCTGTGCTGCCCTCTGGTTTCATCCGTGATTTTTGCCCCCAAAGGGCGGTGCAACGAATTTCTGGTAGGGGTTCGCTCACTCGGGATGGTGGTGCCATCTACCAGTCGCCGTTGGCGACTCACGTACTCGTGATGGTAATACCATGCGGCTGTTGACGGTGGTGGCTTACCTACGCTTACCGGCACTGCTCGCTTTTGATGGTAAGAAATGAACACTCGTGGCGCCCTCTTTTGACTTTACCCTTCATTTACCTTATTTATTTTATCCGCAAATGGGGGGGCAAAAAACGGTGAAAGCTAACGTACGAAACCAGAGGGCAGCACAGGATGCGTTCGCGCGACTCTACCAAACTCTACCCGTAAGCAATCTCTCCACTCATCTCTGGTAGTCCCAGTTTCACGTTTAATCTGGGGGAGTGAATGCTTAGAGAAGAAAATAACATAGTGGGTCTGTAGGCCACGTCCTGGAGGACTAACCTAACCTAACCTAAATTTGGTAAGTGACGCCATCTGAGAGAAATAAAAATGTCATGACCAGTTTCACAACAATTCGACAAGATGGCACCACATACGAAATCCACGATCACGTGACCGGTACAAATTCCCACGAGATATATCGATAAGCTCACCATATGAAAGTTTATCGATCATTCGATTTTGTGCGTTAATTCCGATTGATCCCATATTAGCGAAAAAAAAAATCAGCCGAACATCTAGCTAAAGAATGAGTACACGTTCACAAGAAGATAGGAGTGAAAAAACTGATATCTTTAATCTACTTCGAGTAAAGGTAACCAACGACGCGATTGCTTACTTCATAATCTTAGTATATTAATCATATTGTGTATAACAAAGCGGTAACAACTTGTTAATTGTAACTATTATGGTATTAATAATTTACTTTATCGTTACAATAATTAATGTAAAGATTGTTAACTTATTAATAAGAAATCAATCGGTTCCCCATCATGCTCCTGTTTCGCGACCTCGGGTCTCCTCTTTCATTTTTCTATCGCCCCAATAACCTATCGACCTCTCCCTCTCGTAAGTCATTTGCTGCCTCACGCTTACCCTCCGTATTAATTATTTAACAACAGTTTTATAGTTTTTTTTTTTATTAATATTTGCTCGTTAGTTTAATAATCGATAATGAACGTCGTAATTATATTTATAATATTGTGCAAATAACTCATATCCGTACGTTAAAAGTAATATGAAAGTCGTTCGATGGGCCGCTCCTCTGGGTGGGACGATCCTGTGTTTGCATGCGCAGTAGCAGGCACGAGCAACGCGAACTCGCCTCTCACTGCGCAGCTCAATGGAACGTTCGTATATAATGGACAAATGGTGTACTTAAGTCTCGAACGGCTAACTTGGTAAAATTGGATTCTTTTTAGCTCGTCTACCTAGCTTGAGCCATGGCAGTTGCTCGTTTATTACTGGCCGACTTTTTTTTTTATTTCTCCCCTTAGCATCGCGCGTCGCAGCTTGACCGTGTCAGAAAAGCCAGCTACAGTTACCTCGACTTATCACAATGATTCGAGCCGACGTCGTGTCGCGAGATCGATAATTCTCGATATCGCCCGATTCACCGCGAAAAGATTCAACGACGGAAATTTCCGAAAGACAGGAAACATCTCTTCGAGATCGACCCGAATTTCCCGGGAGGTTAATTTCGAATTCGCCAAAAATTCATATTTTATCCTTGGATGTGAATATCCGCCCACGAGGCGCGACAATCAGCGAAGACAATCGATAGAAGTGGTCCTCGGTGGGCAATCCCGAAAGCGCATTGACAAAGATGGAGATGAATTTCTTCGGAATTTAAAACTAGACTCTAAGACCCCCCGTGACGAGATATGGAAATGGTCGCGTCTTTCTTCCTCGGCATGGAAAGTCGTTTAAATTCCCTCCCCGAAATTTCGCCCTTTTCGAAGCGGCCATAACCTCCATCCGATGATCCCTCCGCGAATTGACATCTCCGAGCTCGTTACTTCGTAGAATTTTATTAGGAATATTCAACAGCGTACATATAAAGCCTTTTCGAAGTATCACACTGTATCTTCGTCAATGCGCGCGGAGTGTCGTCGGCTGCGGCTTATAACGAGAAAGGAAATATCGGACCGTGGAACGTCGAAAACTCGCGAAAAATTATCCCCGGGGTCGAGTTCCGTCGGCTGTCGGGGAAGTGACAGCCGGCGAAGTTCGGCTAAGTTCCACGGGGTGTCGCGAAGGTTCCAGGAAAAATAGAAAAAAAAAAGAAAAAAAAATTAGAAAGTTCATTATTGCTCCTCTCCCGCCATCTTGTTAGTCATAGATCGTCGGCTCGATATCGGGTTCACCGTCACTCGTCACCCCGTTAAACGACTACCTCGAGTCACTGTGATATAATCGGCATTGCGCACATACTCGCGTAGGTTGCATGGTGCGCGCGCACGCGCGACTCCTCGTGCAAGGTTAGTCGAGACCAAGGTTCGAGGGGTAAGGAAGGGAGCGCGGTTACCACTCGGCGTGAAAAAAATGGCGGCGGTCGTCGAGGCCTACGCTTGCACGAGGAAATGGCTTTCCAGGACCACGTGCTCCGAAAGACAAGAGACAGAGGGGGAAGGGCGCGCGAGCGCGCGCGGCTCCGTGGTTCGCTTAGCGTTAGTCTCGAATTATTTGCACATATTACAGCGTCGACAATTTAACTCGTTACCGAAGCGTTAGCCGATAGTCGAAGGAATTTAATATGTTCTAATTCGGAGGAGGTCGCCGGCATCGCGGACTCTCACTGGCTTCTCGATTTCTCGTCTAAGATCCTCCTATGATCGCAGGCGGTGCGCCAAGAGAAAGAGACAGATTCGGGTCTAGATGCAAAGGAGACACGTTTCCTGATCAGTTAATAAAAATAATGAAAAAATATACCGAGCCCAAGGTAAATTCAAGAGGTTAAATAAGAAGAACGCAAGCGTATTAATATTTTCGACTCTAATTTTCTTTTTTTTTTATATAGTTCTGGAGTATTTTAGAATTTTTCGAATTCATTCGTCGTGATGTTTGAATCTGATCGTTATCATGTCGCAATATGGCGGCGTTCAAGACGCAGGACGAAAATAAGACCTCCGTGGAAGGACTTGTCTCTTTTGCATCGTGATCGTCACGGTCGAATCGATTAAACCTGGGTTAATTCGAATTTGCGTGTAAGTGGAATCAGGAATCCCTGTTGGTGTCACGTGGTGCGGCGCCGAGCCTTCCGATTGGCCAACGCCGACCCACGTGACCGAAGGTCCGGTCACGTGACGCGAATCTTCGGGCCGAGCGCAGTTGAACGAATTTTCTAGTTTTTCTCGATTTAACCGTGATCTAACCGAACCTTTGCTTTTCCCAGGGGACCCCTGAACTTAACATCGCGTCTTTTACGGTGCACTTGGACTTCAACGGCGCGTCTAGACCAGGCATCACCAATCTCCGTCAAAGCCTGAAGCAGGAACGAGCCCAGCTTCAGGACTCGCGGTCGTGGAACGAAAGGAAACGAGAGCTCTTAAGAAACGTTAGTACAAATGGCAGTTTTAGCAACAATGCCTTGTCCCCTCAGGCCCGGCGCTGTCTCGGGCTGATCCGATCGTTTCGCCGAAACTGTGCGCCGAGGGCGATAATTCGACACAAGCCTTAAATCCAGCCGAACCAACCGAACCCAACCAAGTCGATTCGAACTACGGTCATCGAATCAACCGATGTTTGCTCGAACGGAATCAAATTTAGTCGATTCAACCGTGGTAGGTTAGGTTAAGTCAGGTTAAGTGTTCGTAAGGGACCCATAACGGTGCGAGTTTAGTAAAGTAGTCCGTTATTTCTCCAGGTTGAAGCATAAAACCTCCTCCAAGAAGAAGTGAAGAGCTACCAAGATGGCGGACTCGACTCGTCAAAAGTGAATTTCGAATCGTCGTTCTCGGCGCAGCGTAAATTTCGCGTCTTCCGGCGAGCTGTGTAAAACCGACGCCGTGTTTTCCGGACACGGGAAAGCGGATCCTTCCCAGGACCTCGGGGTCCTTATTCCAGTGTTAAACCTCTGCGTCCAGAAAAGACCTCTCCCGAATTATCGCGATGCGCAGGAAGGAATCGTAATTGCGAAATCTATGTAGAAAACGGTACGTGTGGATTATTAAATATCGACGGGCCTCTCTATAACACTTTGACAAGCGGACTCGACACCGATAAGAAGTAATTTGTACGAGTAATTTACAGTGACCCTCTCATTCCTTCCCTTTGAGCGTCTAGGGCTTAAAGTAATGAACATTTGTTTGCCGTAACCGTGTGTCAAGACTCGCTTCGCCTGGTCTCGTACACCGGAGTCTGGTTCCCCTTCCTCGAGGAAGGGGAACCCCAGGACTCGCCACGTTCTCGTCTCTCTCTATCAAGGATTCCCCTCGCAAAGCTCCACCCCCACCGACTCTTATCGCGCGACAATTATCGTCGTTTTCCTCGCTTACGGATTTAGACATAGAAAAATAACGACCATGTATCCGTAACATAGATTACCTCGCTGACTAGAGCTCCGCGACTTTTTAATATTTACTTATAACGTAATGTCATTATAGATAGGTCGGTTCATCTCGATCGGCAGGACCGCATTATATCATTATATTACACGTTTCGTCTCGTTTAACGCGCGTCAAAAGTGGCGTGGGTACTTCCGGCTGAAACAACGGAGTCGCTGACGCACCCGACATGTCCGATCGGGATTCCCCGACTCCCGTGCCGGCGTCGTTTCGCGGAAAAATCACTGGGATTTCTTATCTCGTTAGTTCGAAGTAGTGTCGTTGCAACTTGAACAAAAGACGTACGTTTAGGATAGATAATAGTGGATAAAGCTTGGTATTTGCGTTGGGGGACCATTTTAACTTGACTGACCGAAACACTCCAGACACGTTCTGGGACCCGATTCTCGAGTTCATTCGATCAACTTTTCGCATGCGAAATTAACAATTTCATATAAGACTTTCAAATGTTGACCAATCACGCGACTTCGCAACAATGCAACATTTTTCATGCAAATCTATTCATATGGGAAAAAAAATCCACATGAACTCGAGAATCGAGTCCCTGTATACGATCAATGACTATTTCTCCATCGTATGCCTCGAACCGTGATTTATCGGGTCCAAACCCAATACATCCAAATTCAAGTACCGATCAAGACGCTCATGATGGAATCTGCGTAATTATTAATGCAACGGAGACATGCAATTTACTGGATCCAGATCCGATAAATTCTGGATTTAGGAGTACGCTGAAGACGTAGTCTATGCTCGCATGTGAAACTGACAGTTTCGTATATAACTTCAAAATGTTGACTAATGACAAGACTTTGCAACAGTATGACATTTTGGTTTTGCAAATCCATTTGTATGCAAAAAAGCTGTAGGAACTCGAGAACAGGATCGCAAGCTCGAAGTTGGGCGAAACGACTCGGATTTTTGTAGAAGCAGGCACGGTCGGGGAAACGATCGGTTTATCGGGGCGGCCAGAGGCTTCGTTTTGGCCCAGAGCTTCTCTACGTCAAAACGGTGAGGTGGCTCAACAGGATGGCAGGTAAGCTGAAATATCGAAGAGAGTTACGATCGTGGAAAGCGTGGTCCTAGGAGAGACGACAGGACTATACTAGCTACTTTGAGGTGCGGCTCACCTGCTGTCCTGCAGCGTCGCACGCGAGAAGGCCTCGCTCTACACTCGCGATAAGGAAGAAAAGGATCGCGCCCTTATCATGACCGTAAATGCGACACTGAAATTCGCTTTGCGAACCCGCTTAAATACGTCTACACGCGCCGCGAGCGCGCGCGTCACGTGACACTGGACCGGCCTCTGAGGAAGAGACCTGCGCAGAGTCGCTCCGCGTCTCCCGGTTCGCATATCCCCCGATAGAGGGAACGGCAGCTAGTGTTCACTCGCGGGATTCAATGGAAAAAGAAAGAAAAAAAAAGAACATGGCCGCCGGCGCGGCGCGTACGATACGAAAGTGGATCGTCGAGAATAAGTTCGTAGCTAAAAATGTCGACGCCTACCGTCATCGACTCGGTGTATCCGGTATAACAAATAAGCCTCGTCCTCGTTTCGCAAGCGACGATCCCTCCGATTCTTTTTCTGGGACTCCCCGACGGAGACAACCTGCGCGCGCGCGCGAAGCGCCGCGTTCCGATCGGACGAGCTCGTCTCACGTGAGCAAAGTCACGTGAGCGCGCGGGGACCTTGCCTCCGGGACGCCGCGATTCCTCGATCGACGCGGGATCGTCGCGGGATCGTCGCTCGCGGTCCTCCTTAACTACCCTTAATCGTATTTACTTTGAAGCCATCTACGATTGCGTAACGTGTAGTTTCTCTCGTTCTTGCAAATGTGTAAATAGTTTACTTAGGGCGGCGTGTCGATCGGCGCGCGCGCCGCGTCTCCCGTCTCCGAGTGCTCCGTGGACGCGGGCCAAGGTCGTTGGAACGAGTCGGGCGTGCTCGAGAGTCCCTAGGTGCCGGTCGAACCTGCCGAGGCCCGGGGGTTCGATCGACCTTGGGCCGCCTCGGCCGGTTCGCCGCGTTCCCGCTCGGTGATCCGCGGCAAGATGGCGCCACGGGTGCGCGCGCGCGCGCGTGTAGAGGCAGGCGCGCGCGCACGCGCGCCTCGCCCGACACCTCTCGGCATGTAGAAAGTGGATTAAACGCTCGTACGAAGATCACAAATATAGTAGAAGAATATGCGATTATAAAAAGCCAGAATGCGGAATAGGCTATTCTCACGGTGGATGGAGACCGGCGTCGGTCGGCGTCGAGCGTCCGAACGGTGCCGCGCAGTCGGGCTGCCCAGCAGCCCGCGCCTTGTCGCGCGTTTTTCGTCTCTCTCCCCCTTCCCTGCCGCCGTGCGTCTGTCTCTCCTCGCGTAGCGCGTTCGATTGGTCGAGTCTCTCCCGCCGCGGGTCAGCCCGCTGCGGCTTCGACTCCGCGGCGCGTGCCTTCTTGTATGCGGGTGTGTGGGCGTATGTCTCGGTGGAGGGGTGTGTGGTGACGCTTGAAAAATGCAATCCACGATAAAGCAACGTAGAAAATCCGAATAAACGAGGAGCACGTCATATTCCGATCTTCGGAGTAGTCCCTCGGGTCTCCGGTCGGCCGGAGTTCTACCTCCTGGCACGTGCTTCGCTTGCCGGTGCACAGGTGGCAGCACCAACAGTGCCCGCGGGTATATCAAAGCCGACTCGATGCCCCGCGCGGCAGTCGACGCTGGGTACTTGAGGGTTTTGCCTCGCGTCTGTTGGGGAAGCGACTCGAAGCCGAACCTTCGAGACTCCAGCGTCGTCGACCGGTCTCTCTCCCCAGGAGAGGGACCACTGCTACGCTTTCGGTGTCGCCGCGATCCGAATCCGGGCACCGTCGACGTCGCGGGCGGCGCCTTCCTCCGCTGCTGCTGGGTAACGGAAGGCATCCACCACGTCGAGCGTCGGCGAGGACCCGTCCGTACCCTGCGATACCGCGACGATGGCATTCGCCGAGTCGCTCGTATCTCCGGGGAGGTCGTGCCCGCGGCACCGCGGCCACCTCGTCGTCTTCGTCCTGGGTGCGCTGGATCCGGCCGACCATCTTGGATTCTCTCTATCTCTCCTCGGTCGACCCAACCATCACGGAGTCGCCGTTGCTGGCCTTCGATGCCCGACGTCCTCTGGCGTTGACTCTTGGGTTGGCGAGACACGCATTCTCGGAGATGCGATCTCCCTCGGCTCTCGGGCAACTCGGGATACCGCGATACCGGAGTTCGCCGGGTCGTTGTTATCCCGGGGTGCCGACCAGCGTTGCTACCGTCCTCGGTCCTGGGTCCTCCGATCTCGCAGAGGGGTCAGCGAGTGTTCGTGGCCATGGGATTCGGCGACGTCGGTCGTTGTTATCCCAGGGGTCGACACGGCGGGTGCGAGGCCTCGACCTGCCGTCCTTCGACCCCCTCTTCGCGCGACCCCTCGGACCCGCGGGGCGTCGCGGCGGCCGCGTCGGCTCTAACGGCGCGGCCGGGCGCGCTCGATTAAAAGGCAACTCGTTGGAGGAATGTACTTTTTATACAACTATAAGGCTGACGAGTAGTAGTGCGTTAGCGCGGCCACGATCAAACGTCCGCAGTGCGCGAGGTGACGCTCGGCGAGCGGCTGTGGATGACGACCCGGTGCCCGTTCTTCGTGACGAAACCGTCGCTCTCGACGAGGACGGCGGTCTGCCGGACCCGGGGGTCGGTGTCCGGGTCGTCGCTCTCCTCGCTAGGTCCGCCCAGGCGCTGTTGCTTGTGCTTCCTCCAGGCGTTTTGGATCAGCCGAGCGCAGTACTCCTCCCGTTGCCTCCAGAGGGTCGAGGAGACTGGCTCGTAGCCGACCTCGCCTGGGCGGGTTTGCACCTCGCCGAGCTCCGTCGTCTCCTCGATCGGGTTGCCCTTTCTCGCGAAGAAGTCCTTGGTAAGGGCGTCGAGGATATCCACGCAAAACATAAGGTCGCCCTTACATATGGGGATGTCCATCGAGACGATCTTGTACTTATTCGGCTTATGGATCTGCAGAGGGGGCTCCAGGACGTCGAGGAAATCGGAGAGCTGGTCGTATCTGATGTATTGGGTCCCGTCGGGGTCGAACTGCTGCCAGATTTCGTAGTACATGTCGTAGTCGTCGTCGGTCAGGCCTTCTTGCACGTCTTCCGTCGCTTGAGAGTAGTTCTCCAGGATCACCGCGATGTACATGTTGATCACGATCAAGAAACTTATCACTAGGTACGAGAGCAAGTATGCGATCCCGATCGTTGACGATCCGCAGTTTCCTGGGTAACCGATCTCGTTGTTCGGCTCCTGGCAGTCCTCTTCGTTGATGATGCCGTCCAACACGCCGTCCCAGCCGGCGGAGGTTGACATCTGTTCGATCAACGTTAAAGAGAGATTAGAGATATCCAGAACACTGCATTGAGAAAATTAATTTCTTTGAAGAATTGGTAATATCTACGGATTAGAAATTCTGTGAATTTCTTAAGAAATATTGTAACGCGTTTAATTGCAACAAATAACGACGGAACGTTTCGTTCGATCTATTCAAAGAAATGATTTCATTGAATGAATACAAGTTTTTTCAAGGTGGGGACACCGTCTTTATTATTGATGTACCTGGAAGAGCAGTATCATCGACTGCCCGAACGTCTTGAAGTTGTATACGTCATCCAGTCCGCTTTTATCCTTCACGTGCATGAAGAACGACATGCCGAAAATCGCGAAGATGAACATGACCAAGAACAGCAGCAAGCAAATGTTGAACAGGGCTGGCAGCGACATGGCCAAGGCGAAGAGGAGCGTTCGGATACCCTTGGCTCCTTTTACCAAACGCAACACTCGGCCGACTTTGGCCACTCTGACTACTCGGAGCAGAGTTGGGGAGACGAAGTACTTCTCTATTATGTCGCTCAACACCAAACCTGGGGGATTAAGAACTCCGTTAGATTCTTCGCATCACCCACGCTTCGCTGGGAAAATAGGAAGAATATTGCGTCTTATTTCACGATGCTTCTACGTTAGCGTGGAGTTGTTCTATGACTGTTGTTTTTTTTTTATCGGTAGCTGAGAGTAGGAGTGGATCGCGTTTTGTGGGCTTTTCCTAAAGACTTTGTGAACTAGAACTATACTCTAAGATCTGGAGTTACAAAAAAATTGTTATTGACTCGAGAGGACCGTGTAAATAAATTCTTTTTCATCTCGTGCTGTGTACTCCGTGACTACATGTTCAGGCGTGAGATCTATAGTTTTAGATAATTTAAAGTCGTTGTAAAAGTGTACTACTATTTTTCGATATTTTTTTTTTGTTTGTACCTTTAGATGCGGAGTTGGTAGATTCGTGTAACTACTCTGTATTTTACTAGGTGGTATAAGAAGTAGGCGAGACTATTCTACTCGCGTGCAGTGCTGATAGGAAATTGTAAAAAAATTGCAGGAAACTGTAGAAAATCAGAGATACGTCTAACTAGAGTCTACGTAAGGATGACTCGGTCTAGTTGTATTTCCGTGCATTCGGGTCTACATGCTGTTAAATGGCGGAAATGATAACGATGTCGTAAAACTTTCCGGTGGGCAATTTCAATTAATTCGATAATTTATCGGACAAACGTGGCTTGTAATCCGAAAATGTTAAAACTGAAATACGTGATCATTATACCCTAGGTCTACTTCTAAGAAGATTTCTAGGATCATTCCAGATTGAGGGGTGCAAGAAATTGATCGGATGAGAATGCAATTAGCATGAGTCTTACCCGAGGTCCTAGATTAGCTATCACTAAAGTGATAGGATACCAACCTACCATCCTACCAACCTGCCTACCGATTAGGTGCTAAAAGCCCACGCTTTCTGTCATTTCTTTTTTTTTTTCCGATTCTCGAAAGGGGAGGGTTGGGGGTCTCGAACATACATTTACCACACCAATGTAAGGCTACGTAACGTAATGGCATCGATCAGTCGTAGTGACTCGAATGAAACGCTGAACCTGTTTGCTCGACTTTTTTTGGTGCAATCGTTTAGTGACTCAAAATGCGAGAGAACGAGAATTCGAGAAAGTAGCTTATCAGGCATTCCACTAGAGAGGCGCTAACAGTCGGAAGAGAAAAAATGGCCGCTAAAAATCGTGCCTATGGTGTAGTAGCGAAAGGAGGCTAACAGGTTGTTGCCCTTTATCTCTGACACGTCTCACAAGGGTCACACGACTGACGCAGTCATTACGTTACATTACCTAATATTGATAATATAACGACAACAAAATCAAAGAGGTTCCACGGCTCCTTGAAGTAGTGGTAGCGCAGGGCGAAGATCTTCATCAGACACTCGCTGGTAAATATCACTATGAAGAACATGTTCAGGTAATCCAGCACGTTACTGAACGTGTCACTCTGCTGATAATGGTCCAACGTCATCGTCAACATGTTCATCCCGATGAACAACATGATGATCATATCGAACTTTTTGTCCGTCACTATTTCGAACACTATCGCCTGAGGCCTCCACTGAAATACAAAATTAATCGATAATTACTATCCTTCTCGTACCGTGTATCGAATTTTAAATAAACAGCCAAATAAAAGACGTTCACCCTCGGTCGTGGAATCGCCTTCAGAGGTTTCTTGCTGCCCATCTTCTTCATCGCGTTGTAGTACTTCTTCTGGTCCTCCGTCATGAACATTTCCAGGGAGCCCCCCGCCTTCTTCTTCTGCTCGTTGAAGTTATCGATGATAACTCCAATGAATAGGTTCAGTGTAAAAAATGATCCGAATATTATGAAGAACACGAAGTAAAGGTACATGTAGATATTCGTTTCTCGTATCGGTTGCTTGTGCAGCTGGAATGGAAATTAATGGTTCGCTCCATATTGGAAGTTATCGATATTTCATGATTTATGTTTGTCTACGTACTTCTCTGGAGTCGATCGCGTCGTTCATGATTTGTATCCACCCTTTGAATGTCGCCACTTGAAATAAACATAAATATGCTTTCCCGACGTGGTCGAAGTTCATCGGAGAATTTTCCCACGTATAATTCTCGGCTATACAGGCGTTGCGGTCGGGGATTATTTCGTGGCTCAGGGTCGTCTTGTTCGCGTCCACGCACTGGGAAATATTAATAAATAGTAATTATTTGGTTAAATACGGGGAATTAGATTGGGCTTGTACCTTGTAATACTTCCCGGCGAACAGTTGAACCCCCATGATGGCAAAGATGAGCCAGAATATAAGGCAGACGAGCAGCACGTTGAAGATAGATGGAATGGCTTGAACCAGCGCGTTGACGACGACCTGGGGAGGAAATTGAAAATAATTTCACATCGTTGCAAGTCGCGATGGGAAGTCTAAATTTGTGACAGAGTGGATCTTGTCGATCGTGTAGCCCGCGACAAATGGACCAGGTGTCCATTTAAAATCCAATATTTGAATGCAGGAAAAAAAAATTTAAGACCGCAAAATTCCTGGAACCGGAATTATGGCACGAAAATCTTTGGATTATCAAAAAAAAATTACGGACAAATTTCAGGTTTTAAATCGAGTAACCGGTGGCATTAGGAAAAATCCTGGAACCGAAATTTTGTAAAAAGTAAAAGAGCGGATTATTTATTTAACACTGGTCACTTGGTGCCATTCGATTACGGGAATTATGGCGGATGCTAAACGTCGAGTAAACTAGAAAAGTGTCCATGTTGTCCTTAAAAAAAAAAAACAAATCGGCATGATGAGATGCTGTGCTCTGTTGTATCTATGTTGCTTTATCGTGTGTACGGTACAGCGACTATCAGTGCACATAATCCAAAAAATATATACACATCGTTTGTACCGTGGCACCTCGGGATATCATCGTCGAACCAAATAGATGCAACGCCTAGGAACTCAAGATACTCTACGAAAGCGAACTGGCGAAACCTCTACATGACGATTTCTACAATTGCGGTACTAATTACCGATATTTAGTCCATTAACGGGTAAATCTCTCGAATCTACGGGGCACTTTAAAAATGAATTCCATCAAAGACGACTCTACTTTTCTCTGCACCAGCCAATCCGATCATTGCCGATTTCCGAAATTTCACATTCGGTTTTGAAAACCTCATCGGACCCAATTTTCCTCATCTCGGATCTGAATTTTGACCAAGTCTCGCGATTCGATAAATGATTCGGACGTCGAAAAGTGCATTTTCACGCTTAACATTTAAGGCGTTTTCAGTAACTCAAGCAGAAACACAGTATACGTCTATATTCGTGCACGGCAAAGTCAAGGCACAAGTAAATTCGGTGAATTTCTCCAGCAAGAAAAATGGCGAAGCAAGTATCTTCTTTCTTCTTTAAAAAAGAGGGGAAAAAGAAACGTCCATTCGGGGGCCAAAATGCGCAGGCACAACCAAGCAGGGCTCAAAGTAGCCATAACACGGTGCGTCGAAAAAAAGGGGGTGAAGGGCATGCATAAATTAATTTAAAGCCATCATACTCTGTACAGTACACCGAGTACTTCGTTGTTACGCATACGCACGCGCATTCCTTAATGGGCCTCGTTTTCGCATTCGAAGCGGCGTATTTTTTGTTTGCGACTACAGCTTCATGCAAGAAAGCGTTAGTCGTATAATGAGAAGGCCAAGTTTTGTGATGTCAGGATATGGGCATGACTGTAATTTAATACCCAATGTCTCAGCGACCTTATACATTTTACGTATCTCTAACCTCAAACTACAACTTTTCCACTGCAGAAAGTAAAAAAATAACCACGTCTCAAAATAAACATATAAACCTGGGACGATATTTCTCCGACACTTATTAATAACTTCTCCCTAAAATCGACGCGCTCAGATGGCAATTTAATTATCGTGTAATTACAAGCTCATTAAATTCTCCAGGATGATCTGTGATCACCAGTGTCGCGTTCCGTGTGTAAAACAACTCGACACGATGTAACAGAACTCAAAGAGGAACGGTAAATGCGTAATGGCGAGAACACGTGTAAAGAAAAAAAAAGTTCATCTAAATTGCATTCCCTTAGTACATGCCTGCTGGAGCTAAGATCAACGAAATCAATCGGAATTACGCGTGACGTCAGCGGTGCCTCTCTTTTGTCAAGTCATACAAGTGTCGATTCAACTACGTGTACAGGTACTACTCTAACAATGGCTCAAGTGTCTTCTAGATCCATGAAAATCGATACGGGAATGCAGCCGCTACCGCTACAGCGAGAATACACTGAGAGGAAGATGTACGCACGTAAATAGCTTTGTAACAACAATTCTTCCGATCCAAAAGACACAAGAAAGAAAGAAATGGAGAAAAAAAAAACGAAACAAAAATATAACATTCGGGGAACCGAATCCACAGTCAGGACGATGATAATCGCAGAACACAGAAACGATCCTCGACGATCATCCATCAAATCCATTAAATCTGTCATCCAGAAAGGAATTCGTCCGAATTGAAGTGTCTCCGCGTGCCATAAAATCGAGGCTAGAGAGTACTAGAACCGTAGAAAAAAGAAGGGAAAAAAAAAGTCTCGAGGAACCAGGCTCCCGAATTTCGTCTAAACACGTGGTAATCGGCGGAATGGGAGTGGCCGTGGTCGGGGGCGTTCGCGGCGGGCGGTCCGCAGCCGCTGGACCAGCCCTCATTGATCACGCCCTTCGCCAGGCCACGCCCAAGTCAGCGGCCACGTCCCTCCCTCGCCCCGTACGCACCGTTCACGCATGTAAGAAGGTCTGCTGAGACTTTTGGGTTACATACCCGCATCCCCTGCATTCTAGACATCGCCCTGAGCGGTCTTAGGGCCCTTAGGGTCCGCATAGTTTTGAAGGCTTGAATCCCGCCCGCGCCGCAAAGCGACGCTACGAAGTTAATGAGCGACACCTGCGAGCGAGAAACGAGAGCGAGTCACACCAAGGTAAAAAGCCGACGGGCTCCCGGACTGTTCTCGAGTCCGCACAAGTTTTGCGGGCCGCCCTTCCGCCAGAAGGAGGGAGGAGTTTCAGGGCTGGACAAACCTGTTCGTCCGTATTTATTTTATTTTATTTTATTTTTTCTTTTAAATTCCGGAATGACGTCAGACGGGAGGCGTGTCTTGCACGAGGCACGCGTCACAAGTTGTACAGGGCGGGCGCGCAGGGCCGGCGCAGCGCAAGAGGTCGCAGGCAACGGTATATCGTTCACGGGCATCGTAAGTCAAGTCGGTGGTTTTCTGTCGTTTTTTCTTTTTTCTACTTTTTTAAAAATCACTTCCTTTCGCGCGTATCTTTGTCGTCCTTTGTTCATGGTAGGCACCGTCATTAAAGATTCGAGAATTTTATTAATTTTTAATGGACGTCGCTAGTGGAGAACGATCATTTTCTAGGTTAGAATTGAGTAAAAACGGAGTAAGACCGAATGTGGTACTGGAAAGAGCGGTGATTTGAATACCATATTATGTATGGGGAGAATTAAATGTCAGGAAATTTTTAGAAAGCTTTTTTTAACCTTAAGGGCGCCAGACACTATAGCGCCGGCCCTGCGGACATAAGAGAGAATTGGGTAAAGGCTCGACGGGACATGTCTATTTTTAAATATTACGTTTAGGGCACACCGAGAGAAAAATTCTCTTGAAGAGGGACTTAATTTCATTTTTTTTGGTTAACGACTTCTCAGATTATTTTGAATTGTTTTTTTTTTTTTCGGGGGGAGGGTTAGTTTAGTAGCAGGGGGAATTTTTTGGTAAGCTTGGCGATCGGGGTGACTCTTTTGGATACTTTTCTCTCGGCGTGGGCATTCAAACTCGAGTAGTATTGGGTGGGTCGAACATTTCTGGCACTAGCTGCACTCAACTGTTGAAGATTACGTGGTACACCGAGCTGTGTATGTACACGTGGAACGTACTCTTATGGGATTATATTTAATGTACCGAGAGGGTAAGTTTTTTGAATGTCGATCGACGTTCCAGGCTTACATATGCAGTTTAGTGACGTGATACGACGAAAATATGTATAGTAGACAGAATAGAGGTACGATAGAGAGCGTTACAATAACGATCATAGAGACAAGGTGGACAGTACGAGATGCGTAGGAGTTACGACGTCATTAGGCGGTTAAAGGATAATCGATCAATCGGCTCCATCCTGAAACAGACTAAACCACTGCACGTCGACAGGATTCGCGATGCACGGCTGGTCCGAAATCCAAAAATTACTCTAATTAAAAGGAATGAATAATTATTGAAATTCAGGAAACATTTAGGATTTCGAACGAGTCCGCCCATCGCGAAGCAGAACGGTGCTTTTCCAGACACGATAGTGTGATATCATATTTTATCTGCCATGCTGAAAATTAGGATGATGGAGCCTTTTTCTTCAATGTTACATTAAGTTGATGTTTATATGTAACACTTCGTGTTTGGCTCAGCACGCACGACACACACGGGAGACACACAAGGAAGTCTGTACACCGCATACAAAGCATACTTCACTTCGCAACAACGATTATCTTGTTAGAACTCGAGGAAAGGCGTAGTATGGCAATAGCTAGGTACGACAAAAACTCCAGTATCAGTGCAGACACCAAGTAGATCTTTGACGTCAGTGAACCTCTGCACATCGGTATAAGCACAACCATAAATGACGCTACGACGAGTGTAGCAGCGACCACTCTTTCATGTTCTTTTTTCTCTCATTACCACGGGGAAAGCTGAAGCTTTAACGAAATATCGGTCCTGTATCGATCAGATTTTCACATAGCTTCCTCCGACCCCCATAAATAATCCATTTCTCAAGACCATGTCCAAAAAAATCACCCCTTTTTAAGGCCGGCATTCTATCGCGACATAAAATTTGTTGTTTCAATGGAAAGTATATTTCATATTTAAACCCGCATTTTTACTAGCAAAGCATTTGTGGAAATACAGCTGTCGTTGCGTAAACGAATGTTCTTTTCAAGAACGCGGTATGTAAATCGGGCTAAAGATGTAAAGTGGCATCTGAGAGGTCTATCATGAAACTTTTCTCCATATCAGATGTACCGAATAGTTTCAAGCTTTACAACACGAATATGAAGGCTATAAGCAAGGTCCCAACGCCCATGAAATTTCATTTTCTAGACAAATTTTTTGAAACGTCTATAAACAATTTTTAAAAATTGAAATTTCATGGGGGTGGGGACTTTCCTTATAGTCTCCATATTCACGTTGTAAGGTTTGAAACAATTCGGTACACGAAGTTTGGAGAAAAGTTGCATAGAGACCTCTTTGACGCCCTTTTCATATCGCCTTAACACTAGAATTACCAAACCCAGTCAAAATGACTGGTTTCAGGTGGCCCACCACAACCGAATAAGATCCGCCGGTGGTTTTAGTGTTAAAAGGGTATTTCGAGCAATGGATTAGTTACAGACCGTGGAGGAGCAAATTTTTGGAGGAAAGGTGAGTCTTAGCGTGGCCGCGCGTCCTTCTTCACTTACTCTCATGCCTTCCCAGCGTGATACCGCGCGCAAGGGCCTCAGGGCCCTCAAAGTTCTCATCGACCGGAAGGCCGGGATGTCTGCAGCACCGGCCCAGATGGCGCCCAAGTTGATCAGCGATAGCTATTATCATGAACTCACAGATTACACAAGTCCAAGGATCGGGAGTCACAAAGATCGGCGGTTAGAAAAATCTCGAGGGACGGAAATTGGATGAATCCTCTGGAGACATCTGTATATACGACCCTAGACAAGAGCTCGGTAAAGGTATTAACGATTAACGTGTTTGTTAACAGGGTCACGACCAGACCCGCGTAAAGACAAGTCGCAGCTATTTCGAGAATCGGATCATCGACGACCTCAGGTGGCCTCCTACTATCGTTAGGAAAATTCCAAGAGGACCTTCAAGGTGGATTGCGATGGCGCAGAGAGACAACATTGACATCGCCAGTAGGTTGTCTGTACGTCGTGGGACCAATTCCAGCTAGATTGGGATGTTGGGATTTATTGGAAGGGATGTGATCGACCTTTCGCTCCGCCTTTTCGGGTCCTCATCGGAATGGGCGAATTTGGGTCCTCTTACCATGACGATGATGAAGTCCAGCCAGCACCAGGCGTTCGTGAAGTACTTCTTGAAGCCGAGGGCCAGCCACTTGATCAACATCTCGATGAAGAAGATCACCGTGAAGATCCGGTCCATGTAGTAGAGGATGTCTTGGAGGATCGGGCGCTGCTGCAGGTGGACGTCTTCTAGAGCCTGAAAAAAACCCACGAGCATTACGGAATGGCTAAGTTACGTTAAAAACGATGGGAACTTATTCCTCAACCTAATTGAATATTCCAACACGAAACTTACGAGGGCTAAGCTGCTCAGCAGGATCATCGTTATGACGGCAGTTTCGAAGTACTTGTTCTCGATCAGCTGAAAAGTCTTCAACCTCAGGTTCGCCCAACCTTGCCAGAACGGCGCGTCGTCGTCGCCGGCCAGGAAGGGGAATTTTTTGTAACAATTGTCTGGACAACAATCGGCCGGCGAGTCCTCGATGATGTCCTCGTCAGCCTGGATGATCTCGCCGCCCAGATCTCTCTCGCCTTCCTCGCATTCATCTTCTAGATCTACGGTTAATTTTCAATATTAATCACGTACTATGAATAATGCTCCAGATTAATAATGGAAATTCCTCCAGACAAACCTTCCGCTTCAAAGTCCTCCTTACTGGCATCTTTCTTCTCCTCCTCGTTCAAGGAATCGGTGCTCCCCTTGTGGCTCTCGTCTTTGAAGGGTCGATTTTTATGACTCCCATAGGATTTGTTGCTAAAAAATCGCAAGATAAAAATCAGATCTCTCCAAAGACTCGATCGCTGACCCTGTTAAAAATTAACGAACCTTATGGTGTCCTCTTCGTGGTGATTGATATACTCGTGCTCTATTCTGTTGTCCCGATGGTTGATCGAATTAACAATGGCCTTCGTGTTGTTCATGCAGAGCTTCCCTTTCTTCAGCTTGTTCTTCAGGTCCCCTGCGAAATGGAAGAATTATAAAATCGGGGCAAGTACGCTAAAAGGATTTTATTTTTTTTATTTTTTTTTTCAGCTCCATGGGCTCACCGTGAATCGTAAATTCCATTCCATCGCCAATGGCGACCTCCAATTGATTGCTCAGGTCTTTGGCGCTTTTCTTATCCCTGTACGCGTCCAATTCTCCATCTGCAAGGTCTAGATCTCCGTCTCGATCAATCCCATCTGCACAAGTACGCAAAGCCTTCAACGTTTTTCCAAATTATTGGCATTACTCGAGTTATAGAGTCGAAAGTAGCGGTTGTACATCACACCAGCGCTCTACGGTCGGACGTATTAATCGAAAGTGCGTCAGTTCCGTATTTAATAACCCTCTCATCTGTGCGATTTACATCTCAAACTGTATACAACGATCCTTGACTTTTTACCCGAGTCAAAGTGTAACCGTAAACCATTGCACCTGGCCGACAAAAAAGGATGTTCATACGTTACCGTCAGCAGGAAGGAAACGGAAATCCCCTCAGGACTCGCAGAGTAACTCTTTAAATATTTACAGGTTTCTCTACCGATGCATTAACAAATCCTTCCTCTAGGGTACTTACGTTCGCTCTATTTTTCGCAATTGCATCGTTACCGTGTAACTAGGTCCCGGTCATTGGCTAATTCGATTAACTACTCTGCGAATTCTCTCCTCCTACTAATACGCTAAGAAAAGGCGAGCAAGCCGTTGTCGAATCGCTGCAAAAGTTCACCCAAGAAAGTAAGTCAGTCATCGAAAGATGCAGCTAGTAATAATTCATGCCGATAATGAAAATGAACGGCTGGCATGCATGCGACATATCGGCAGAGTATAAAAACCCTCGAGGGGGAGGCATTGTTCACGGTTACACGTTATTACGAGCAATTAAGCTAGAAGTAACAGTTCCTTAACTTCAGGTCTCTCCGAAGGTCGCCAAGATATTGAAGACCCCGTTTAATCGATCAACGATCGCTGTATGGATTCTCAAAAAAAGAGCTAAAAATCATATCGCGTTCTCTCTCTGGCTAGCACTTACCAGTTTCTCTATCGCAACAGACGGCACCGTTTACACCGTGTTTTCGGAGTTGGCCGCAACTCCAGGACTTAATTCGTCCGATTTTTAACGAAAAGGAACTCGCAAAACTCTACGCACAAGGGTCATGCAGATCGGCAGCGTCGAATTTCACGGTTTAAAATGCAAATCTGCATCTAGGAGTGCTTCCGACTAGAACTCGACTCTGCGGATCGATCTACTTAGAACTTTCTGACTGTGTCGGAAACGTTCAGCAAGAACGGAACGCAAAACCCGGCTAAGACAGCAAGACAAGACTACACAGCGCACACGGCAAGCGATCTGAGTGGATATAAACCTTCTTTCCAACTGTTGGACGGTCCCTCACCTGGCGCCTGATCGGATATCTGGTTGGTGAACTTGGCTCGCATCAACTTAGCCAGGTAAAGGAGATTTCGCTTGACCCACTTGATGAAGCGAGCTATCCTGTCTATGGCCTCAGCGATTTTGTTGGTGTCATTGTCCGCGGTGGGTGCGGACAGATTGGAGGACCCGAAGTTGCTCAAGAGCAACGCCAAGAAGAGGTTCAGAACCTACCAAGCAGACTCGTTTTAAAGTTCCACATAAAAAAATCAACCTAAAATCCCATAATTCACTTTTAACGTCTACGTATAAAATGCGTCTTTTATATGTACCCCTCAAATGGCTAAAATACGCCTTTGACCCTGAGAAAAAAAAATTGTATTGAACCTAAGAAATATTTTATTAATTCCGCATTCAACGTATTAATTTTCAATTCGACTCAATTAAACGGGAATAAATTGTTATTGGAGTTTATTTGCGTGAAATGATTATTCTTTGAGTTAAAGAAATATTTCTTTTATTCAGTGTTTTTTTGCCAATGTGTAGCGAAAAAATTTGTTTTCTTTTTATGTAGCCCTTGAGTGGCGCTAAAAATTAGGCATGAGTATACACTTAAGTCAATGAAGTAGGTGGTTATGAGATGATTCTAGGTTGTGTATAAGTAGGGATTTTTTTTTCCTTTTTGGGTATACGTACGACCAGGTTACCGATGACCACGGTAGCCAGGAAGAACGGGATGCAGGAAACGTCCCCAACCAACATGCAGTCCCACATGGACTCGATCCATTCTCCACATAGTACTCGAAAGACGATCATGAACGAGTGCATGAAGTCGGTGAAGTTCCATCTGGGTAGGACGCCATCGGGGAATAAATCCACGCTATCGGTGTAATTCTTGCCGAAGAGCTGCATTCCCATCACGGCGAAGATGAAGATGATGATGCAGAGCACGAAGGTCAAGTTACCCAGGGCGCCCACAGTTCTACCCATGATGGATATCAAAAGGTTCAACGTCGGCCATGACTTCGCCAGCTTGAACACCCTCAGCTGTAAGTGGTTGTCACAAACGCAGTGAGGATTAATTTATATTTTTTATGTTTTTTTATAAATGGGAAATATATGTAGATATTTTGCATGCCTACCAATCTGAACGACCGCAGCACCGAAAGCCCCTGCACACCTTCGAGTCCCAACTCCAAAAGCGACAGAGCGACTATGATGAAGTCAAAGATGTTCCATCCCTCCTGAAAGTAGTACTTCGGGCTCATCGCTATCAGTTTCATCGTAGCCTCGATGCCGAATGTTGCCGTGAAGAACTGTCGACAGATAACGCAAAGGGCTTTACGTGGATCTTCGAAAGAAATTTTGTCTCGGGGTGAAAAGCATTGAAAATGTAGGCTTGAGGTCTGAGGTCGACACTTACGTAGTTTCCGGATTTCAGGACCCTTTCCATGTCCTTGTCCATCTCGTGGTGGTCCAGCGCCATGAAGAGGGTGTTAACTACGATGCAGAGGGTGATGAAGAGCTCGACGAAGGGATCGAAGACCACCAGGGCCACGAATTCTTGAAACTTGAGCCACGCCCAACAGCAGTCCCAGACGCAAAAAATGTCGATGCAACGCAGGCACAACGTCAATAACTTTTCCTTGAAGGTCGGACCTTCCTCATCGTCGTCTGTCGGGAAGTAATAGATCGAAACTGTACTATGCGTTAGTAAGCTTGTCTGGCACCACTCTTTTTGGGGAAAGAGTTTTTTTGCATATCTCTTTTGGTCTTTCCGTTTTTATTCCGGACGGTGTGTGGGTGGACTCAAAGATCTCGGCCATGGAGCTCAACTCAGGCGGAATGGGCTGTGCAAATACTTGTACATACAGAAGTACGCTAGCTCACTTGCTCCTTGCATTGTCCGCCGAGAAAAATGAATTGTATGCCGTGCAAGTACGCGAGAATGGTACATAGCGCTATGTCGAGGCAAGCCTAGGCGAGCCTGCGGAAAAAAGACTCGACTGAGTTCCGCACCAAATGCGCTGCGCCGTGAAACCGGGTCTCTATACGCGAACGCTCCATTCATTTTTCTCCAAGCCTGACGGAACGTCCGAAAAGCTCGCGAACTACATTAAACAATTACCAAGCTGTGCTTATACTTCATCGGTGACGTCGAAATATTCTGCGAAATACTCTGTGCGAACTAACGAGCCGCGAATGTCGAAGCGCTCTTTTCTCTTCTCTTTACGAAGCCTAGGAGATGCTCGCTAATAGTTAGTACTCTAAAGATCTCGCGGGAAAACTCCTTGCCGTGAAAACAAAGCGATTTTCTCGTGAGCGTCGATGTGCAGAACGATAGAAACTTGCACTTCCATTCCACCCTAGAAGCGACCGGTTGTTTCTGTTTCGTTTTTTTATTAATTTTTTTTGGTTCATATGCGTGCATGATCCTCACCTCTAAGGATCTCACTACACGATCGATAAGTACTACACTTTCAAAGCATCTCTAAGAAAATCCACATTGAGCACTGAGTAGCGTGATTTAATGTCTTTACACTACATGGGCATGATGGACCGTAGCTAGGGATCGCTATTCGCGGAAGCGCCTAAAAGTTACTCAATTGCGAGAAATAATTAATATTTCTTTTGGCGGATAAAGAAGGAGATGAAAAATCGGAAAGAAATTAGGAAAACGTGAGGAGGTGATTACGAAGTTTGCCCCGAATTTGGGGTATAAAAAGTGCGTTACGCGATACCGCTGGAAGTGTGTCTGGTTAGATACGTGCAATCATGTATATAAGAAAGACAATTTCGTGCAACTAAGTGCCAAGTGTTACACGAATATCGCTATTAACAATATGGCGGAAGCTGGCGGAAGGGGAAGATGCAGAAAGGACGCTGCCTCAAATGTTCAACTGTTTTTAAGCATATTTCTCATGTACGTTCTAATGCCTGGGCCATTTTGAATATGTGTTCTTAAAACAAAGAGTACCCTCTTCATCTCGGATAAATAAATTCAAGATGAACAGTATCGTACATCGTACAAAAATGATTAAAGGAAAACATAATTATACACAAAATGGAAACCAATCCTCTCAGCTCAGGCGGAATTTTGCAAAGCGTCAAAGAGCATGCAGCCGAAAAAAGCGGCGTTTACGGTGCGACACAAAAAAAAACTCTTTTTCCCCAAAAAATCTACAAACTACATCACTCGTCAAGAATGTCCATCCAGACATTGCACTCCGTCAAACTCATACGATCACATTGAAAGTAGAAACGGTGTGGTAGTCAGGCACGGGTCTGTTGTACTTGTAGTGTACACTGTACACGAGTGTCCAAGCAAAGAATTGTACAGCATAAGGCTGTGTAAATTGTGCGTAACGCAATGTTGCGAAGTGTTAATCTCGAATGGAAGAAGCCATGATATGTCGGTTGGATGGACGGGCGTCGCGTGAAAGAGTAATTAATAATGAATGAAGAATTAATTAATAATTAATGGTGACTCTCTCGGCAGGTCCGGAAACAAGGGAGTTCCGACATTGCCAAGACAAATTGGTCTACGAGAAATGGTACACGTCCTGAGACCAGGGATGCTGCGTCGATAGATGGTGACGATGGTTAACGAGAGATCGATTGTCAAATGCTGATGTGGATGAAATGAGGAATGCACGTACGAACAAGTAGCCAAACAGTGTTCGGTACTAGAATAAATATACACAAGTACATCGAGTTCTCTAGGGTATAGGTCAAAGCGAAGTGGTGAGATGCCAAAGGGACACTTTACCTCCGTGGTCCGAGGTCCTACTCTGCCGACCAGCAGCTTGCTCGATAATGTCGTTTAGCACCATCACATCTGTCGGGAATTGAGTCAACGGGTCACTTCGGTCCTACAAAAGTGCATTACGCTAGTTTACGCCGAAAGGAGCTCTTGACTCTTACCCTTCATGTCAACTACGGCGTGTTGCTGCGAGGGTTCGATGAACGGATTGTCTTGCTGCTTCGTCTTGCCCATCGGGTCCTCCGCGTCCCCGTCCTTCGACACAGCAAAAGCATCCTTACAGTCTTACTAAACTGTCTAATTACTATAAATAATTTGTCCAGACGCGAGCATTTTTCCGCGCACAGAAATGTTCACCCTAAGGACCTCTGAGAAATCAAACGTGCATGAAACTTTTCTCCGAACGAAGTACCGAATCGTATCAACCATTACAAAGTGAATATAGAGGCTGTAAGAAAGGTTCTACACCTATGAAATTTCTATTTTTTTTTTCAAAAATGAAATTTCATGGTTCTCAAGATCTCCTTTATAGTCTCCGTATTCACGTTGTAAAGTTTGAAATGATTCAGTATATCCAGTCCGGAGAAAAGTTTCATAAACGAGACCTTACCCCCTTATTATTTTTCTTATCGTTATGCCGCCACCACGTCGTTGGCGATAACAATATTGCAAGGGAATTCTGTAAACGCGTACGAGGGTAACGAAAGGGCTTAACCACTTTTTAACGACTCTGAGTGAACGACTCTGAACCAAACTTGAAGTTCATACTCACGAAGTGGTGCTTCTGATTAGAATCAGCGACGTGGTCGTTAACGGAGGGCGGCCTGGCGGACCTACTTCTGAGTTTACTTTCCTTGGTCATGGGTTTGCCCGCGCTGGCGATTCCACCAAGAAGATCCCCATGGGAGGTGTAAGAGAGCCTGGAGGCGTGAGAAGTGTACGAGGAGTGTCGAGAACCTAAACTCGTGTAATAAACCGGCACGACGATGGTGCCATTTTCCTCGGACATGGGTGTGACGGCGTTGGAGTCGTCGGCATAGGGCAGGTGTTCCTGAGCGTCGAGATAAGTCGAAAGGACGAGCGGTTTCCGGTCTCCTCCTGGAGGCCCCACGAAACGACCGCGTCCATTTCTGATGGTAAATTGATGGCTGCCTCGACTTCCTCTTCGCAAGTTGAACGGAGAACCTGGCAGGCTGAGGCTCGCCTGAAATCCAGAACAACACTTTGCGGGGTAAAGCTCGATCCGAGTGGTATAAACTGGGTCGAGGAGAAAGCCTTCGAGTTCTTTCGACGGCCGCCATCTTGAATCTCTCCTCCGAGTCGAGCGTCTCGATCGGTCCAGGATTTGGCCACCGATTGCGTGCTTTGGCCAAGAATCCTTTATTTCCCGGTCGAACTAGAGCATGCCCTGTCCTATTTCGGATTTTTACTGATCTTTTCGCGAGAGTTTGTCGCTATTTTCATGTTTATTCTAATCCCTTGTCGCGGTAAAAAGCTCGCGCGAGAAGGGGATTGAGTCACCGGGCATTATGGGAATTTCCTGAACGACGCTCGTTTTTCTGTTAATGGTGAATAATTATTCCTTCGCATTTATGGAGTCGTTTGATATCATTAATCGACCCTGAGAAAAGGAACTCGGCTTTTGTGCCGCTAATCGATCCCTGAAACCGGTCCTCTGTGAATCAAGGGATTTTTCGAGTTTTTTTGGAAATCACATTCTCTTGATCGGGTTGGTTATCTGTTATCAATGCAGAGAAATGGTTTTAGGGCTCGATGAGCAACTCTATTGCGTATGTGCGGAGAAATTATTTTATTTAAATTCGCGGCGAAGCAGAGCACGATGGGAGCACTTTGGACTCAGGTCCATCTCGTATTGGATGGTGAGTTTTTTAAATTTCAGCAGTTGAAGAAACTTTTTTGAGCAAGTAGGGCTATTATCTTATACTTATCAGACGCGTGTCATGTACGAAACGACTTGACATTCAAAATGGCCTCATCGAGCCTTCCGCTTTCTCAACTAGATCTAGGGGAAATTATTTCCGTCAATTCTGATCGGATCGTGGGATCGAATTCTGCCTTTTAATTATCCTTATATCCTTATCTGTCGTATAATAACAGTACGTACAGTTGGAGTCGTCAACCCTTTACGTACCATCCTCAGACTTTCCTGGTAGGCATAAGTTAACTGGCCATTAGCGGCGCGAGAGACCTTAAGAAAAAAGAAGAAAAAATATCTCCTACCAAAATATCTTTACGTTTTCGTGGTGAACACCGAGAAGGCACGACTTACGGAAGCACACATATCAGAAGTGTTATATAAAGTTTCGGCAAGGTTTGCTTGTCTTTAACCAGAGCCACGTCATCGTAACTAGACAAAATAGTGGGGACAGAGCGGACGCAGCGTTAACCACTTGCACTTTCCATTCTGATAACGAGCGACACCTTATCCTTGCATGCACGGAGGATGCACCTTGTCGATCACGTCGAATGTGACGAATTTTCCGACTCCGCAGGCACTACGACACCGGTAAAAATTCTCTGGCTTGAAAACGCTACGATAAGATATTAATTGTCATAATATACAGCGGATTCCGTTACTCGAGAACGCTATGATAAAATATTTATTATCATAATATGCAGCGAAGAGGCCACTCGAATTTCGAGATCCGACTTAAATACACACTATTTGAAGTGATTAATTTTAATATCTCTAATCACTCGACTTAAAATCGGCTGCAATTTTGCCGTTCTAAAACCGAGATGGGTGCATGTGCAGATAAGTGCATTCGCAGAATCGAAATGCAAGACGCGAGAGTGTGCAGCGAGCAGAATGCGCGACCAAAAACTAAGCTAATTGCAATGCGACATCGACGGTTGGAAAATGTACTTTGTAGAGTTCTTTCATTATTCGGGATCTCTCTACAATCGAGAAATCTTGTACTACACGTGCTAGAGTGCATTGTGCGCCTACTGGTGCATCGTTCGCCATCGTGTCATCGAGGAGCCCAGGAGATGCGTCCTCTTGCATGCGAAGTGAAAATCGATTCTTATCGCTTTTATGTGCAATTTCAACCCTTATAAAAAATCTTTTACGTATGTCATTTGAAGTTTAACCGTGAAAGAAGTGAACCTATTCACGCGATGACGCCGAAGTCGGCCCCGATTGAGAAATGCAGTCAATAACGAGATGCACTTGGGTTCGACCCGAAAGCTAAAGTACTCGATCGAAAGAGACACGACTCAATATAATTACTATAATTACCAGATTTAACATGCAATGTTCTTTTTCGAGTGTTTCTTTCTCTTTCTGTCGGGAAAGTTGTTCAAAATAATAATAACGGGTTGAAGTGTGTGATTGGAGGTATAGTGCATCGTGGAGGTCTAGAGTGCTCCTCGTTCGTTTTTTCTGTGGGAAAAAAATCTGATGTGGATTATAATCGAGGCTACTTCGTGTCGACTGGGCGCTAAGCAAGTCACCATAGGTTCTAATCATTGTGATGCAGAAAAATCAGGCCATCGATAACTAATCACTACTGACTAAATCTCTAGCAACTTGTAGAGGAGGTTCAACGAGCTCAACAAACTCGGAGAATAATATAGAAATATTCAGACTGACGCAGAGTCCACATCGATTAGCACATTAATCGCCTTGCATTGATCGTTGCCTTCCATTCCAGGAGTAAAATTGTACATCTCCAGATTTGAATTCAAGAAAAAAAAGAAAAATTAAAACCGTACACTCGACAAAGTCATCTCACAGTCGCCCTCCATTAACATGAAAATTCTTATAAAGAAAAAAAAATGTAAAATAAAAATCAAGGCACCTCTTCAACTAGACCTTCGACTCACGGGTAAGATAATAAAAAATAAGGAACAAAAGTTATTTTAAGGACGAAATTTCTTACCCCCTGAAATTTATAATTGGATATTTAATTTACGCAAATGAAGTAGGAATAGAAGGCGTGAAATCGGTCCATTCCTGGAGGCGACCGGTAAGCATAAATGCGTTTAATGGGCCGACAATTAGAGTACTCGATGTCGAGACTGGGATCGAAAGCTGTACCGAACAATTGCGGGCGGCCACGGTACTTACGGCACTGACTTTTCGTACTTTGGTGGTGGTGGTGGTGGTGGTTGTGGTGTGATTGTTGTTGCTCGCTTTCACTCTGTGCTCGCTCACCGACTCGATCGACCGTATGCTCATTCGCTCCTTATTGTTGTCGTCGTTCCCCTTTTCCTGGCCTACAAACAATTCGTAGCTCTGGCAAGAGAAGTCCGAGGGAGACTTGGCGATCTGTTCTGCAGCGACTGCAGCGGCTGCAGCAGCCGCTTCCTTCGCTGCAGCCTGCGCAGCAAGTTTGTTCTCCTTTGCCAGAGCTGCTTCTTCCGCTTCCTGGAGAACAGTGAGAAATATTAGGAAATTCCAATCAACCTCCACGAGGGAATATCCGAGTCCGTTGCAGCGCACTCCGCGCTGCACCACCTCCTTAAAAGTCGAATCTGAAGGTTCCATTCTACGCGGAATCGATCGATCGACTCATTAATTTCACGTAAAAATTCAATTCCATTCTTTCCCCGATAAACATTATCGATTCCACGCGGAATTTCATTTCCAGATCCGAATCCTGCAGACATGGTACGACGAGGAGGAACACCACGCAGGGTAGGGTCATCCACTCGTGGCCGCCATCTTGTTTTCGGTGCGGCCAAATGATAATTAGTGTCTTGGTGTGAGAGTTACATCTACGTAAAATGACAATGAGAGGGAACCAATGCTTGTATCACCTGGTACTTGAATTAATATGTTTCGAAAAAATGGAAAGAAATACCGATACCTACATATCGTGGATATGAATTGTAGAGCGATTGTCAATGACACCGAGTGTATGCGTGACTCTTGAAGCTTTTAGATTAGGCTTGTTTATACCCTTATAGCTTCCTCCTCAGCTGCCTCCTCCTCTTCTGCTTTCTTTTGCAACTCGTCGTATGACATCGCGACAATGGCGAGGATCAAGTTGACGAGGTAGAAAGAGCCTAAGAAAATGATAACTATGAAGAACAGCATGTGCCATGGTCCAGCCGATCTCAGCACCAGCTGGTACAGGTTCTCCCAGTAATCTTGAGTCATTAGACGAAAAGCCGAAAGCAGGGCCCATCCGAAGGTGTCGAAGCTCGTGTAACCGTAGTTCGGGTTCGGTCCAAACCCTTGTAAACACGTGTAACCGGGCTCGCACTGCCTGCATTCAGTTTAGTTTCAATTCTTTTAATCATTAGCGGTTGCAATTGGCATCTAAAAAAATCCTTTCGCGCCTCGAGTGTACAAGAAAAAAAATAAAAATATATCTAGTAGGAGGTTAATTCTTATACGCAGAGTGGAGGACAATTGGAAGAGTTAAAGAGAAAAAGAAAGGAAGAAAACTCGCAAATTTCGATTATCAGATCCTACGTTTCTAAGGTGTTCTAATCCAACATGTTCGGGACTCACCCAGCTCCTGATGAGTTTCCGCATAAAGGCATATTTCCACCTTCGTCCACGTACCAATTAGCTGAGGATGAAAATGCGTGTCATTATTTAGCGCGAATTGGTGGCGAAAAGACCTCGAGGGAATAAATACGGAAGTTGTGATGGTCTCCATGGGGAAGAGACCTCGTCAATTTTGGGTAAACTTCAGGTCCTGGACCTGTTATCTCATTTTTTGTTTTCTTTAATTTTTTTCTCAGATTACTTACTTTCGTTACTAACAAATCGCACCCAGTTCTCGTCAGTGAGGTTGCCCCAGGAGCCGTCTTCTGGGAAGTTCTTAATGCACTTCTGCGTCAACACCCCCATGTAAATTTGAAGGCCCATTAGTGCAAAGACGGACAGGGAGAACATCGTAAGGATTATCACATCGCGCAGGTTTTTTACGGATTCTATCACAGCGCCGACTATAGTTTTCAGACCTGGGGACAGTCAGAACGAGAAAAGAATTAGTCGTGGGTCCGGTCGGAAGAGAAAAAAGGACGTAGGGGGTCTCGGATGCTGAGAGGTCCTGCAAGGACCAGATCAGCTCGCGATCGGACGTAGGATCAGAATCAGACATCAAGTGAAGCGCAGTATAATCGGTGTTTCTAGGTATATTGACAAGGTCTAGGTCTAATGTATATATCTCTTACTACCTTCTATCGTCTAAGCATACCTGGTACAATAGCGACAGTCTTCAAGGCTCGGAGGACTCGAAATGTCCTGAGAGCGGCAAGGTTTCCTAGATCTATGCCCATCGTCACATAACTGCAATACATCCGAACATGACACACATTACAGTGTTACGAACGAAAGAGAAACGCAAAGGAAAGACAAAGTAATGGGAACACACGTCAAATCATCGGAACCGACTACAGCCTAGAAGCCTACCGTGTCCCGTTTCAAGTGAACCAACGAAAAGTACCGCAGAAAGGAAAGCACGAAAATGGGAAACGAAGGATAACCGGCGAGAGAAAGAAAGAAATAAATAGGAAAGTATAAGAGAGACAGGAGATAATATCCACAAAGAAATGATCGCTTTAACCCATGCACGACAGACTTATGGTCCAATGTATATTTAGGTATCAAGTTATCGTATATCGGGTATGTAAAATCGTCTAGACCAACAGTTATCCAAGTGTACTAGTCTACCAACAATTAATGTATTAATTATAGTTCCGACTCGCACACTAGACTATCAACGAATTACAGTAATGATACTTCGTCTGTGGCCACTAGGGGTGTCTGCGTGTCCCTAACTAATCGACTAAGAAACCTATGGTTTATGTACGGTATCGTATGTGGTATGTCATTACTATATGCGTGTATATGTCTGCATATAAATATATGTATATATATCGAGACTACGTAACTGGGAGTAGCGTACTTAACGTGTCGATTGGAGGATCTATGTTATGACCTGCAACCTAACTTTTGACTAGTTAGTACGACCGACTCGGCAAATGCAATAACAATTTGCTTGCGCTTTTCTTTGTCCCACTTCTCGACCGTACGTATTGGTCGACTCTTTTTTTTTCTCGTTTTCTTTCTTTTTTTTTTTTTCTACCGAGATAATTCTCTCTGGGACTTCTCTACCGTTAATTATTAATTATTTCTCATTTATTTACGGCGGTGCACGGTCACGTCTACGGGGCACGCCGTTTACGACGTGTTTAATGCGACTGCAATGACTCCTTTTTTTTTTATTACTTCTTTGCCAGTAATGTATGCTAGTTTTGGCGTACTTGATGTGCCTAGGTGATTTCCGACTATTGCATGAAAAAAAAACGGAAAAACGTAAAGGCCTTCTCGCGTCTTTTCTCCGAGGTCGAACGTTTCTTTGAGAATTCATTTTTTTTTTTTTTTTTTTAATAAACTCGGATACTATTTACGCTTTTGCATTTTTTTCTCTGCGAGTTAGAGGAGATATACTTGACAGTGACGAGGACGATGATGGCAGTACGACGACTATTACCTAATTTAATGTACGTAAGTGATGGGCGTGAATTATTCCTGGAAAAAAAAAAAAGATGGCGACGAGATACTGGTATAAAATACGGCATAGAGATCGTTGAAGGTTCGACTTTCAAGCAATTCTCAACCTCTACTCAATCAAATCAACTTAATCGGCGTCCTTCGATATACGTGAATATGAACTTCAATAGAAATATATGATATATCCAATACATGAATGTACTTTTATAAGTGGCCCTTCAAATGGCAAATAATCTGCGTAAAAGTAATTCGTCAGAGGGGAGTGTACTCGTGATAAATGTATAATAATACCAATACGAATAGACAGAGTATACAATTAGGCGAATATCGCTAGCAAAGGAGCCTCGAATTGTAGTAAATAAAGAAATATGTATTACTACTCACGCTAAAGCTATAACTACGAAGTCGAGCCAATTCCATGCATCTCTAAGATAGGTAAAAGGCTGCAGAATGAAACCCCTCGCCATCACCTTAACGGCGGACTCAAATGTGTAGATGCCCGTAAATATCACTCTGAAACCATAAACAAATCGCTCAGCACTGAATTTCCAGTCCACCAGACCATCTTCTAATTCCTAATAACAAGGAAGCTCTTACATAACCACCATTACCTATTTCTTTCATATTTCATTACCCATTATCAGCCGCTGCTCGAAATTCCGAATAATCGATACGCAACGGTGCCCATTTAAAATATAAATTGGACACGAGCTTTCAGGAGCCTTAGAGAATTTTCCTATACTTTATGTATAAATAATTAACGTATGGCTTCGTTAAATATTAATTCATATATATATATTTTTTTTTCTAAATCAAAAAGTATTACTCGGCCCGTCTTACTTACTCAGTGGATTCGATGGTGGGCGTTGTGGGCATGATCATGAGTACGCAGTTAACCAAAATCGTGGTGATGATGAATACGGAAAACAGTGGATGAACCAAAATGTAGATAGCCACCCGTCGTATCGGATTGAACGGGTCGAGGATCCACATCGCGTCCGTCGCGGAAAATCTAAATATGTCTTTTCCCTTGCTGATGACCACGAATGTCTGAAAAATTACGATAACAGGATGTTCATTATTTTCCCTGGGGGTCTGACTTTTCTAATATTTTTTCGGATATTACCCTCTGATTGTGGTAAAAGCTGTCGATATCTTCAAGCGGGGTGGAGGCCAGTTCTGGGGGAAATTCGTTGTGCATTCGGACCGGAATGGGCGCCCCTTGCTCAAACATCGGATCCGGCTGAGGTCCTTCGTCCTCGTCTTCGTCATCGTATCGCACCTGTGAAACGAATCCTGAATCGATACCTTACTTCGAGACGATATATCGCACCTATCGAAAAATCAACGCCACGAGAAACTATGGTCGGAATCTCGACGTACATCGGAAAGAAAATCCCTAATTGGGCCGAATCATCGACTCTTATTAATTCAATGTCATTTTCAATTGCGTTAGGGAAATTGTACCGTCAAATTCGAACTAGAAAAGAATCGATTGGATTCTGAAAAGACGCGTTACATATTTATATGCGAAAATGTATGTCTAGACTAAAAGGAAATGCATCCTTGTACAGGGCGAGCTCTTTAAAGTTGTCTAATTTTCGGTATCCGAGGGAAAATATGTCCCCAAAATGGAGATATTTGGTCCAGCTTAAACAGACCACCCTGTACGCCGTATATCGCCAAAATGCTATGTACAAAACCGAGTCCACGCACCTGCATATATTTATATTACAGGAATTGAGTGTTTCACCGTGAATTATGTGCAACCTATTGATGCCCATTTTCATGTACAATTTGTACGCCGAATCTCTTCCCTTGGTGTTTAAATATTAAATATTAAATTCCCCAGCCTTCGCTCTCTTCTAAACCATCGATTGCAAAAAATCCCGATGAAAAGATCGATTCGTAATTTTTTTTTCTTTTTTCAAGATCGGCAAGACTCACGGCCAACATTTCTTTTAGGGGCAATCGGCCCTAAAAATCGAATTTTATGGATTTACTCGAGACCGTAGCCTTTTATAAGGTAGGAACCATTGAAATCGAGAATAATACCGTCTCCTCTGCGTTCGTACGTACACGACATGCATGCATAGATGCATAGCTGCATAGCTGCATAGATGCATAGTGTATTGGGGGCACGCGCAAACGAGCCACCTTTGAATCGCCGGTTGCTTTGAAATCATATGGAACACCTAGCCGTAAGCTGGTCTTTATGCGGAAAAGAGACGTTACTATTAGAGACCGCTTTCATTTCGAAAGAGCCTCGATCATTTCCCAACAGCCTTCGCCATTCGCTTAAGCTTCGTCGAGAATCGCGCAAGAAAATCCTCCGAGTTTCCAAGCAGGCGTTATCGGCGGATTTCCGGCCAATTTCCATGAAAACTACGAATCCCAGCAAGCCATAACAGGTCCTCATATTTTTTTTTCACATTTTTAAAAAGGTTAAAAACATTTGGAGCGCCCCCAAAAAGTACGACTCTCGATTTCGGCGATTCAAAACTAGTTAATCCCCAGGTAAATTGTAAATTCTGAGAGATTCACTTTCGTAAGATATGAATCGAACCGCGTATTAATTAATTAACAATCCTAAAATTTTTTACAAGCATGCAATTATTTCCAAAGAAAATTCGCTGCAGATGAAATTTCTTCGGGAATTTATGGAACATCCAATGAGGTTATGGTACTCGAAGTCCTGTTCATAGTTGTTAAGTGAAATGGATATATAGCTAAAACTAGCGAAAATGTACCCTGGTAATTATTCTTTTTGCCGAACGGGCCCCTGGGTCTTACCATGACACACAGTATTAACAATCGTCAGCCAATGATAACGCTCGTATTAACGTTTTTGACTGGTCTGAAACGGCTGGTGGTCCCTTGCATACTTACACTGGATTGTTCGTATCTCTTAACATTGCATACGGTCAATACATCTACCACCTGTAGATCTAATCTACACGTAGATCTATCTAAGTCTAGGCTTAGAAAGCTGAAACGAAAAAGGTTGAACGACTTTCCGTGGGAAATTGCGGCGAGAGCTGTGGTGCGTGCAGAAATTCGCTAACGATCTCGAATCGTCTCTTGCTGGTCCATATTTCGTAAAATCGCAACCCGAGATGCGTGTGAGTGGTTATTACGCGTGTTTCTTAATTGTCGCTGTGGTAAATAATTCTTACAAGCACTGCTCATTCATACTAAAAGCAAATTTAAGCGGCTCTGACTCTCCTCAGAATATTAATCCCTCCTGCGGTGGACTCGCCAATTGTCGTACCTATATATTGTTTAAAGAATTTCATCTGTACAAGATTTCGACCGTACGGCGTGCGAATGCGTACATTACCAACTTTTCAGGCCACTGTGTGGAAATATTTAGAGAAGAGGCATGGACAGGCGATGAATAACATATCTTTTTTTATCTAAACTATGGCAGAGAAGATTAGTTCACATAACAGTGTGGCATACGAAAGCATACATCTCTACGTGTCCCGCAATGTATTAATTATAATTAACCTGGCATATCTACGAAAACATCTAAAAGGTATTATTTTTCACCACCACTATTCTTCCCTTTCTTAATTTATAAATAATTAATACATTGCGTCCTGACTAAGTGAAAGACATCAATCAAGGCGGAGGCAGTGTGAACGTAAAAGAGTGAAACTGAAATCGGAGAAGTCGGATGAGTAACGTATTACTTAGCATGGTATATCTTACTTCTTTTTTCTTTTTCTTCCGTCCATAACCTCCCTGAAATTGGAGAATGGAGAAAAAGTAGTTACACAGATACAGACATACAGATAGCATGAGAAATTCGGTATCTTTTCTATGAGTACGATTATTCCGGGTGTACCGATCACAGATGGGGATGAGGGGGAGTCAAGATAAAACACATCCAGGACAGATGATTTCTCAAAAGCACAGGTCGCAGGTTCATATCGATGTATATAGTAATATGACGATGAGAGGGGTGTCGAAGTCCATAGACAAACACTATCTTCCATTTAATCCCACCTCTCGGATGCGGATAAAGAAATTGGCCAAAAAGAAAACGTGAGAAAAACATCTCGAAAACACCTCGAAAGAAAAATCATTTCAAAAAATTCGACTCGACGTTCAACGATTGCCTTAACAAAAGTACACTCGATAAAGTAACAGGATCGAGAGGAGAAAAATGCCGAACCTCCCTGAATAAATGAATTAGAAATTTACTTGGGAAATATCTAATTTCCCATAAAACTAGTGTTTGAATATCCTTCGCTACGAGGGTCAAATTACAGAGATCGTAAGTTGTACAATGCAAAAGTCAGAAACAGGCATAGCACCAATGACATTGATACAACAAGCTCGCACGTGGTAAGGGGTCGGGGGGCGGAGGGAAGGGGGAGGCCAAAAAACACAAATGGAATACCAATTGGCACAATATTGCTGGTAATATAGGTTCCACACGTAAATGTACACAACGTATCAAGCGGAAGTTACTGTTACTCCTTTTAAACAATTTCGATTACAGTGGATTATTGCCGAAGCGCCACGTAGCGTTAAACAATTGCCGGACGAGGATGTAGCCTATACAAGATCTGCAACAATCATTCCGTACTTTCCCCCGAGAATGAACGCACTCTCTCAGGGATCGTTAATCGGAATTTGCCTCGTCCACGGTTTCTGAAAGAAAATGGCTGAAAGAATCCGCCACGTGTTTCGGAGTCGTCAATTTTGAGTCCAGATATTTACAGGGGGTGGTGACGATGCAATGATTATTCTTGCCAATTGCGAGGAAGCGGTTGTCAACGCGCCTCAAACTGTGAACAAGTTGTGACGGAAAATTTTTGGAAATAATTTATGCCAAGCGTCTGAAATGTGACATAGCCCTGGCCTGGAAACGGTGTGTAACGTTAATATTAATTATCGTCGCCGTGTTAACGTTATTTCGTTTCGTGTCTAGAGGGTGGAATGGGCAAAACGCGCCTCGACCTCGGAAAAAGTTGATGCCAAGACGTGGGAATTTCAAATCTCCCGCGGAAACCGCGCGCGGGGTGTCGAAATATAAAATGGAGCGTACCTCCCCTTCCGCTCTCTTCTTCTCAAGCTCCTTTTGTTTTGCATGCTCCTCGGCGATGCGAGTCTCGATTGCTGCTAAGGATTCCCGCGTGAACGGACGGAACAGACTTCGTTCTTCCTCTGATACAGAGTTAGAGTCTTCAGACATTGTCTACGCTGAGCACAACCGAGCCACCTTTCTGAAAGAGAGAAGGAAAAAGAATTAGAAAATAGGGACGATACCCACGAGAGTGCGCGATAATTGATCGATAATATCGTCTCCGATACCGTGACTCTCGAATAGGTCAGAGAATCACGCCTGGAATGATTTTTCCCCAGCTATAGCCATTTTTGGTTAACGTGCTCACATCGCCCTGACCTACTTAGCACACACTCTCCTTGGCGCATGTAATTCCCTTAATAAGGGTTGACACAATTTCTCGTTGCACTTTTTTTTTCCCCTCCCCCTCGCACCTCCTTGAGTTATTTTTTAGTGTCCACTCCGAAGATTGAGTAGCGACAACAAATCCAATTTACGTCGGCCACTATCCTTCTCTCTTTCTTGCCGAGGCAAGTCCTGCTGCTGATAAACGGTTACTGACCAGACTTCGAAAAAAGAAAGAAAAAAGAAAAATTACATTTACCCCATCGTTGGAATTTAAAATCATGGTAACATTTATTTTTCAAGATGTGACCATTTCATTATTGACATTTACTTAACCACCGGTGCTAACGATTCTTGAAATTACCATTTTCACATTTATTGGAGGATTTACGAGATATTTATTTAACCAGCGGTGGTAAAAATACTTGAAATGACGATTTCTCTATTTAGGGGAGAATTTACGAGATGTTTACCTAACCACCGGTGCTAACAATTCTTGAAATGACGACGACGCTTAGTCCCCGGATGCTGCCGATGTTGGGTGCGAATCTGGACGCGGCTTCGAAGGGACCCGATAGAAAATGGCCGCGGAAGTTTGAATCGCGAGGTTCTGCAGGGTAGGACGGATAGATGCACTAGGTTGCTCCGCGAATTCCGAGTCTCGGCACCGACACTCCCGTCTCGTGTTCCACAGGAAATACTTTCGCACCCCCCGGTGTCCTTTCTCGATGCAATGGCGGCGACTTCGAGCTGCGAACGCGCTGCGGCAGTGCGTGCTATGTTGGAATTCGTCCAACGTGAACCAGGACTTCTCATGTCCAACCTGTTGGAAAAATGGCGACATAAAAATAGTCCCAAACCATATGTGTCCACCTATCGCCGAACTAATTTTAACTTTATTATTATATAAATATATATAAATTAATTAACAATAAAAGGGACTCTTCCTCTACGTATATACGGATACTCACGTGTACATGAAGCGGCGAATAGAATCAATCATTTATCTGAATTATCATAGTCCGGACTTGAACTAGTTCTTATCTGAAATCAGAAACGATAACGTGTCGTTAGATGGACCGATGGTAAAAAAATCATCCCAGGGGAAGAACTTGCGACCTCTTTTCTATCGCCCGCCATTATTGGGGTGCATTTCGTCGAAATGAAAACCGACTGCACGGGTCTCTAAATTCGGTACAGTGTCGTGTACCGAACACACCCCATACACCCCTCGACCAAACAAGCAGGTGCAGGTCATTTCACATTATCGATCAGTTATTTGGGTCAAAGCCATGTGTGTTAATGGAGCTGAGGGAATTTTCGGGGATCGACAATGGGGAACAATCGCCGCGTACCATGGGACGAATGGGAATTAAAAAGAAAAAAAAATCGCCGTTTATACCTTCAATCATTTGTTTTAAATCGGTATTCAAGTAAAAGTGCATTTCAAGCAGGGGTCATTTAATGGCGAAGCGGCCGGGAGTTGTAATCGAGTAATTCGGTAATAATTCTTCTTTAACGGTGTATCGAGACCGGTCAGTATTAACTAAACGATGCATACAGTACTCGTGGGGTCTGTGTTCGCTAAAGTGTTAAAATTGGGTCATTTAACATTGTATCGATCAGTTATTTAGGTCAAAGCCATGGGCATCGACGAGTGCGAGGAAATGCTAGGGTTAGGAAGGCCAAAGAATCCCGCTATTATTAGTTCTTAATTACTTATCAAGTTATAATTACGTCCAGAGTCATCGATTAAACTGGAGCCGAATAAACTCCCATGGACTGAATATAAACCCTCCGTAATTCATGATTTATTATTAAGAATAAACCTCGTGGCTCGCAGACTTTCGTCCTAAGGTGGGAGGAATTACATTACCACAGTGTATACCGACATGTCTATATCAGATTACGCACCTGTTGAGCGAAGGAGGGATTATCGGATTATTCGTTTTTAATCGGATGTAATTATCAGCGAGCAGTCCGGCGAGGCAACGATGCGACCCTTAAGGCGACACGAAAGCGACTTATGTCAATTTCTTATAAGAAGGAAGCCTCTTATATACTTTAGAACGGGCATATGTAGTAACAATGGAAGTGACTTAAAAGAAGGAATTTAATTCCCAGGGAGAAAAGGAGACTCCTGTAAGGCGAAACGTCCAATCGGGGGAAGTTTCCGCCATATCGGGGCCGAAAATTAAATTCCCCGGACTTCGCGATTGAACCGTGAAACGGGGAAAACGTGCCAAACGTGCCGCGAATCCCGGAAAAGTGCTGGGAAAACGACAGATTTCGGGGGAAAAGGACATTCCCACGGCCGTTCAGGAATTTCGCCGGGCACTTTAAGATTCCGCAATGCGTCAAGAAATCCCCTGTCGTGACCTGGTCTTAATTCGCTATCCATATACGAAAAACGGCGACTAGAGCCTCCCTGGAATCGCAAAAATCTCCCAAGTCTATTGTTCCGATCGATAGTCGGCAGATTTCATCCTAAATTCCGGTTACACTGCGGGAATTTCACCTCGCGGTCCGGATGGATTTCCGAAATTGGATTTCGTACGACTCGATTGTTAACACTCCGATGCATTGCGCAAACCCGGAAGCCGTTTAATCCCGAATTGTCCACCGTGTTCAGTGTCGTGGATTAAACCCTCGGTATCGGCGTAATTTGCGGACTCGAATCGAGAAGCTTAATTCCGCAACGTCTGATTGCGAGTTTTCCCGAAATCTGGGGAAAAAAGGAATAACGAGGGAGGAATCATAACCGCCCCCGTTGGATATTAATGAAAAGAGGCGACTCGTCCAAGTGGTCCGTTTTTACTTTCGAGAACTCCGCTCGATGTCAAAACTCTCGGAAGAGGAGAGAAACGCCAGAAATGCATAACCGTGAACGCGTCCTCACCTTTACCTACATTCGCAGCATTCGTGTAGTACACGATTGGAATCGGAGAATTGCTCCGAGTTTAAGTCGGTCATACCGAGTGCCTGCATGTAGAAGTTTGCTCTTCTTGCCTCCCGGTTTTTCGGGCTCATTGTGAGTTGTCAAAGTAAACATCGCTAAACATCCCCGTGGACACGTTGAAGAGAGTTCCTCGTCCCTCCATTAAGTCCGTACGTCGATTGTAAAAAATAAAACGAAAAAAAAAATATCAAGAGAGAGAGAGAGAGAGAAAACGATCATAGTGGAGGGACCGAGAATTACAAGCCCGGCACGTTTAAACGCGCTTCTTGAAACAAGTCCTGAAATCGTGCTAAGTCTGAAATGAATTTACAAAAAATATAAATGAAAGAATCTTTCTAATCGCCAAGGCGAAAATATGCGACGACGCGTCTCCGCCCCTCCATTTTGGATGCTGCATGCAGAAAGGTGCGACTGATGCGAAAAATCGTTAAGCACATGCAAATGCGGCATCTTCTCGCAGAAACATGCCCACGGGGCGAAAGTATCTCTGGAATCCATATTTATGAAGTACGCAGGCCGAGTGCGCGAAGTTCATCGAGTCAAAGCCTTTGTCGCGCGCCAAGAACATTTTCCCGACACGGCCTCTTTACGACAAGGTAGCCACTCTATCCCTGAGACTTGCGCACTCCGCTTTCCAAAAGGGCTCAAAATGCCGGAAGGCAATTGAAAAATTTTCCCCGACCTCCCCGGACACTCTAGCTGGGTTTAAAAATTAATATTAACCGGGTTACTCCTCGTAATTCTTTTTTCCCTCGGTCGAAGGTTGACTTTCCGTGCAAGTGGAGAAACGGATTGCACACTGAAGAGGGAAAAGAACGCAAAGTCAGACCCATCGGAAATTGTCGCAATGCGCGCCCAGTGCATTCCCCCGTTAATTGCACATACCCAACTCCCGCAAATCGATATATTTAATAGAATAGAAATTGCCGGTTGATTTTCAGAAAGGTTCGTACATATTTGCGTGCGTACATGCGGCCCAATCGTCGCTCGGTTTCATTGTGGCAGGACCTCCATTCCAACTAGGGTAGTATTGATCGTTCCTACAATAAGGCCAGCGTACTTATTATTTATGACGCTAGTGTTAAAAGGGACAGCATTGTTTACATGGATCGGTTTAACCCTCTGATCCCTCCTAAGTGCAAGGTTGACGGCCAATTATCCGCCGATATCAAGCCGCGATCAACCTCCGATCGAACCCTTCAAGGACTGTTGCCGATAAATACCATCTAAAAATGTACAACAAATTTCCATTGTTAAAAACTGACTCCTGTAAATTATCCCGCAATGTGAAGAATTTTGGGAAATTTGAGAAAATATCTCCCGAGGATGTTGAGGGGTGATCTTCCATTTATCCATTTCTTACGTATTTCCTATGTATCCCCTACGCATTTCCATTTCGCTCCTATATATTGTGGTCGAAGAAACGCCCTCTTTCGGGTGGATGGAAATTTCTTACCAGCCAAGAGTGAAATCGTCCGAACTCGTCTCGAGGATAAAGAGGAAAAAGCCGGGTCGCTTTCGGGGGAGGAAAAATGTTTTCCGAGAAGGAAAAGCCGCTCGCAGCAACTCGGCCTAAGGCATGCCGTAATCCGCTCGATAAGTGGAACAAGTGGCACACACTGCGGCGCGTTTCTAAGAACCAATTGTCGCTCGCGCCCTGCAACTCGTAACGACACCTTGGCGAAATGCAATTATTGCCCTCCGAACGATTTTCCGTCCTCCCCTAGTCGGGGAAATGCGATTTACCAGGCCTCCCGGTTTGCGGAAACCGAATCTCCCTCCGATCCCTTCCGAGGCCCCTCCAGAGAGAGAATTCCCTCCCGAC